GAATAGCGCTCAGATCCGATGTATCTAGTCGAATCGCCATGGAGTCAAAGTCTTTCACCAGTCCTTCGGTATACGAATGACTCCATGGGATGGCTGTCAGGGCGAAAGTCCATACGAATGAACAAAACTCCCGAACGACCGACGTTCGCATGCCTTGTCGAAAAGGAAGGTAGGCAGCAGCTTTTCAGCGGTGTTCGGTAGTTTAAGTGTCCGTTTTTAGTTCCATACAGTTTGTACCGAACACCGCTCGGTGTTCGTATGTCCCAAAATGGCCGCTGCCTCGTGGTCGGCATGCGAACGACGACCACCCGTACGAATGGAATGGAGAGGTGTCTGCGGTTAACCACAACTTTCTAATTGGGGCCAATAGGTTAACCAGCAGCACACTCCTCTCCTGGGTGGTCGTTCGTTCGGTAGTTTCAATCGGTAGTTTTGCAAATTACACGAACGGGGTTATACGAACAGGCAATTCCGCGAACAAAGGGAAACAGACGAACCAACAATGCAGATGAATCTGTCACATTGACATTGTGTCCATTAAAGATATTGCATCTTGTTTTGTGTTTTTGCTTTTAGATAAAGACATATCACTGTCATCATTTGCTAAACCCAAAGTAAAAATTGCTAAAGCAAAAAAGACAGACAAACCTGAACCAAGAGAAGAGAAAGCAGGTAATTACAAAATGTCCTATTATTTATTTTCCTTTCATATAAAATGACAGATGCTGCCCCTTGCCACGCTGTAAACCTAGATCTGTGGTCTTATTGTTGATCAGATCCCAGTGTGCTGCTATCGGCAACAAAACGTTAAGGTTTTTCTCACGTGTTCATTCACTTACACGCTTTCTTTCACAGTGACTCCAGATTTATCTGAAGACGAAGAACCTGTGACTGTAAACCTTGTTACTGAAGAGCTGACACTCCGCACTCTAGACCTTCGTGAATATGAACTGTATCCCAAACGGAAACGGAAAAAGAAGAAGAAGAAGAATTACACAAAAGGTACATTGCGCATAGGAGTAACAAGAGCGTTGGTAGATGCTCATATTGTGGCTGTGAGATATGATTGTACTGCAGTCCATGTGACAGATTTCACTGCCTGTTATTTAAACTGAGCATGAATAACATTAACTTGTATCCCTTGTGAAATACCATTCTATAAGCTTCCATCAGAATGCAGTGGTTATGGTATGTACATGCCCGTGTAGATAACCGAAGAATAGATTTGTGACCAAAGCAACAGAGCTGCTGCCCAAACTTAAGATCTGTCGTTCATGTTCTACCAGCTCAGGATACATATTACCCAAATTATTCTTCTTAACTTATTGTAAAGCATCAGTATCTTCTGCATCATTGTGTACTGTCATGGGGAATTAGTAGTAGTAGGACGTTGGGGTAAGACGAGTAGATTGCTGTTCCAAACTGTTTTCTTTTCCTAAAGAATTGGACCTTAATCCAATTTGTTGAAGTAGGCTGTGGTTTGTCCTTTAGATTATTTCTGTGTTCCAAGGTTTGGAAGAGGACAGGAGGATGATATGATATATATATATATATATATATATATATGTTTGTTGTTAAACTCCCTTCACTGCCTGTGTATAAGGGAAAGCACTTTCTGTATGTAAATGTAAGCTATTTTCAGATGATTCCAAAGAGCCTGATGGAGAAGAGGATTCCTCAAACAGAAATCCGCTGATGGAAACTTATGAAGACCTCCCGATGTCTGTACCAGAAGGTGAGTAGCTGTGCAGTTAACCAATCACAAACGTGAGCTTGATTAACATTGTAATTCATTGTATTATTATTATAGAGGTTATGGTATTTGGAAGATGCGGATACAAGTTTTTTCCCACCAAGTGTTTTTCACGTAGTTTGACAAAAGTACAGAGGGATCCTCGGTTCTAAAAACCCTACCCCCTTATCTTGCAACATCAGAATGAGGAACTCTCATATTGTCATTATCCATTGTCTTTGTATGTTGTGAATCTAAAAGCTTAATGCGATCTTGTAGGATGGTTTTAGCTGCATTAAATCATTGCTGATCCTTACTTTGCCACAGAATCTGTGTAGGTTCAATGTGAAGGTTTGGTGCCAGTAAATTGGTCTGTAGACATTCAACTACAGTAAAAGTTTTCCCAACTCTTTCAGCCTCTCTGTGCACAGTATGGACACACGTACAAAAACGGATATCGAAAGTGAGACTTCCTCATTATGACGTAAACCATTTAGGAGCAAAACTTGGGTTTCTAGTAAATGTTGAGGTTTTGTCAAACAGGTTGTAAGCCACTTGAAAAGAAAATTGAGGCATTGTATCATAATCACTACAATAAGCTGCATTGGATATTGTGCTTGTAGCGTCCCTTTAGACATCTAAGGCCTCCAGGGAAAACATTTAATTAGAGGAAACATTTGGTTGAGATCTTTTTTCCCCCCAACCTTTAGAAGACGAACAATGCCAGATCCGTAACACCTTGTTCACCTGCTGTAAGACCGGGGATAGCCAGAAGGCCAAAGAGATTCTCCAGGTTCTCCTCAATGCCAATCCTGAGCTGCCTCCTTCAACGAAAACTTTGACAGTCAGAGAGATGGAAACCCTGGTGAATGAACGGCTTCCCTTGGAGGGACGCACTCTGCTACACATGGCAGCATCTTCTGGACACGGAGAAGTTGCGTGTCTGTTAATGGATGCTGGCTGGGACCCTTCTCTAAGGTATTTATTATTGAACTACTTAAGATGATTGATGTTGGATTGAGAAGAATATTTGTAAACTTCACAAAGACCATTCTTAGTTCTTGCCTAATATATTATTATTTCTTTTTTATGACGTGTAGAGAGTAATAAACTCTTCCTGTGAGATTACAATTTAGCATTGTAGGACTTTTATACAAAGTTCTGGCAGGATAGATTGTGAGTTTACTATATAGAGAAAAGAGAGAGTGAGGCAAAACTGCAGTGGAAATTAAAAAGGCTGGTCAAAGAGTAGGGGCACAGCGAGCTCTGTGGAGGTTAAATGTGGTTTAAGAACGTTGTTAGTGAGGAGAACAGATATCTGAAATATTTTACTGCAAAGTAGACAGCAACCAGGTTGCCTGGGACACTGGTTGCAGTGATAAGAGTCTGTTAATGAAATGAAAGAAAAGATAAGAAGAGTGGTAAAACAACACAATTCTTGAGACTGAATGGGAGGAGCTGGAAATTATAGAATAAATGGGGCTGGGGGGATAGGAATGGGGGCAAAACCACTGCATTCAGTTTTATTTAGAACAATGACTGGAGAGTCTGTTCTTTGGTACTGGACACATTGTATTTCACACAGGAAAAAAGGGAACTGGGGAGCATTCTCAGAACACTTGTTTAATACTGATGCTGATGTAGAGCTATACAAAATGTGTATTAAGGGAACTGGACGCACACACAGGTACAGCTTCATGTCCTTCAAGGCTACTTAAAATCACAAATGTTACCATGTGAGATAAACATGCTAACTGCTACACTTCCTAAATCTGCTTCCAGAGGTTCTACCCAAATGTGTGCATACCTGTGATCGCCTCTAATGGCACACCTATGAGTGGTGGAGAGGGTGCTGATAGGTAAAACACATTTAAATATTTCAGTTTAATAGATACACCCATTTTGCAACTTTAGTTGTAATTATTGCAAACCAGCATTTTAGTAATCATTCAACATATTCCGCTCCCGTATATAAAAGATTTATATTAACTCTGACTCTCCGTTTCTAGGGATTCTGCTGGACAGACTCCTTATTCTCTGTCACCCAACAAAGCCACCAGGAATAGATTCCGTAAATATCGGGAAGACAATCCGGAAAGATTTAACTACAGCAAAAGCCAGGTAAGGAGAGAAAAACGTGACCGCCCGGATTCTAGTCTTTATTTGAAAGTTTACTTTGTGTGTTGTGTCCAATTCCAGATCCCGGGGCCAGTATCTGAAGAGGCTGAGGCACTGAAGGCCAAAAAGAAGCAAGCCTATAAGGCACAGAAGAAGCAGAGGGAGAAGGAGGAGAAGGAAGAGAGAAAGAGGAAGGAAGAAGAGGAAGCGGAGAAGAGAAGGTTTGCAGCTCTAAGTGATCGAGAAAAGGTGAGAAAAGGCCAATACACATTTCATTGCAGGTTGCCCCCTAGTCAGTTCTCAAAGATTGAATAGGCACTAACCATCGTTTGAGCAGCTTGACAAAAACTGGGGCTCTCCTTGCACTCCAAGACTGGCCCTCTGTTGCAGTCATTTCTTGTTATTCAATCTGTCTGAATTCAGAAAGCAATGGCAGTAGAGGGGCCAAATATTGGGTATTCGGAGAGCCCTTGTTTTTGTCAAATCTCCTAAAACCATAAAACTGGAGGGACTCTACCTAAAATGTAGTCTAATTTCAGCCTTAGTCTCTTTGTTACACTTTTTCAGCACTCCAGGTTTTTTATGTGATATATAATGTGTTTAATAGTAATATTTTGTTTTATCGGGCAGCGAGCTCTGGCTGCTGAACGACGATTTGCTACCCAGCTCAACAACACCAAAGGAACAGAGAGCGGAAGAAGGTAAATACCTGTGTAAAGTGTGTAAACCTTTTAGCTAAATATACCTTGTGTAGTGTTCAATATTAGATCAATGTGTTGCTCATTAATATGGAAGTGAAAAAATTAAACTCAACTGATCTGTATTAGGACTAATGTTTGAATGAAAACAATTCTTAATAAATAGCATGTTGGATTTTTTTCCCTTTCATTTATAATTGACAATAAAAAAGTTTGTTTTTATCAAAGTATCAAATATGTTTGAAAATGTCCAATCTGAGATATAGCGCTTTTTTTTTTATTATTATTATTTTATTTTATTAAATGTGTAAATGGCAGTGACGTGTATACTGGGCTGGAAATGAGTACATAGCAACACAAAGTGACAATCTAATGGTATTACAAGCTTGTAAATTGTTTGATAACTTTTTTTTTTTGTGTTTATTTTATTAATTTTAATCTCATTCTGTGTAATCAATTCTTCTAAATGCTTCTATTACTTGCTTCTCGATGATATAGACAGAAGACACGTGATATCATATTTTTTGGTCTTGCTCCTTGTTTTACAGACGTTGCTGGCAGTGTGGGGAGTCCCTTTTAGGTAAAGTCCCATTTGAATATCTAGATTTCTACTTCTGCTCTACTCGCTGCTTGCAGGAGCATCGCAGGAGCAAAGCTGCTAAATGAGGATAGACCGTGCGGTTGGACAGGAGATGACATCACAGGATTGGGATTCACACGAGCTGGTTGGAATGAGGTCCCATTGCCAGCTGAATAGTGTCACCAAACAAGATTCGTATTAAGCACAGACAATGGCTTTCACATATAATGGATATCTAGAGCCTGCAAACAAGTGGCATTGTCTTTTTTTTTTTTGCATTATGTAGAAATCTGACAGTACCTCATTTTAAACTCGAATCAAGGTGCTAAACATCCACTTTAGGTTAGAATCTTTGTCCGTATAAAATGAGTGCCGGGGTTGAGCACCAGGACAAGTGTCTGGTAATGTGACATATCTACTACATTCCCAAGTAGAGAAATACATAGAAACTATAAAGGAGCTCATTGCAATAGGAATATCGAATTTTATCATTCCTATCTTGGGCAAGTGATATCAATAAAACCACGTAAACACTGGATGTTATGGTTGGTGGGGGCACAGAATTAATGGTAGCACGCTGTAAAGTCAATAAGAATCTCTGGGCAGCGTTTCTCCCACTGACTGTACTCCGTTTTATAGTCTAAAATGGGTGAATGGTTCATTATGCTTGTGAAAACAACCCTGACCCTTGTTTATTTCTAGACCAGAAAAGTAACATTAAGCTAATTTTCTTATTTGGTAGAATCTTGCAATGGACTGGTGTAAAGTTTGCTTGGGTTTTACATCCTCTCCGGTTTAATCTAATAATGAGGAAAGGAGTCACGTTTTAGTTGGAATGCTAACCACAATGAAATAGAATACTAGCAAAGTATGTGCTTCGTACTCTGCATTAAAGCAGCCCTGTGCTCCTTACCCAGTGACCGCTGAATAAGCTTTTAACCTACATGTGCTAATGGAGCCATGATGAAGAATGGGAGATGTCGTGATACATGTATCATCTGATGTGACTGAGGGTTACTCATATGTCCATGTAATAACTTAAAATATTCATGACTAATTTATTTTAATTATTTTATGTGTAACATTAAACATTATGTGGTAAACTATACATTATGAAAAGTAATGGCGTCATGGTTCTGGCAGGATTCATAAACAACTACCATTTGGTCCCATGGTTTATGATGTCTTCAAATCTCACTTATTCCCCAGTACTTTGGTTTGCATTCAGGTAGGTTTAGATATAATCTATTCCCCTCCGCTAGCAAAATCACTAGCCTGTGAATAGATTAGAGCAGGCTTCCCCAAACTCCTGCCCTCCAGCTGAACTACAACTCCCATGATTCTCAGCCTGTCATTCATAGAACCATAGGAGTTGTTCAGCAACGTCTGGAGGGCCAGTGTTTGGGGAAGCCTGGATTAGAAGATATACTACTAATATAATACCCATTCCCACTTGCCTATGTCCCTCTTTCCTTAAGCGCTACAAGCATTGCTGGGGAACCCTGCCCAAATTAGTTTTTATAGACGCTTACACCATTGCAAGTGCACCGGTGTTAGAATGGCTTCTCAGTTCTTCCAGCAAGTGCAAGCTAAACTCACTAGTGCATATGTGCTGTAGTTGCTGTGACAACAGCTGTAGCTGCTGTGACTGTGTAGGAAGGTTTTCCTGCTCTCTTTTCATTCTTTGCAATAAGTGTATTATGCTGGCAATGCACCTTATGCAGAAAATTGACCGGAAAGAATAGGGGTGTTCGGTTCATTGCAAACAGTTAAATTAACTTTACAGGATCTTTAAATTTGAAGGTCGTGTAATGTGGCCACCATGTGCAGTTTAAGAATACTGCAACAAACATGACGTGTACAGCTATGAATCTGGTTCCATATCACAATATCTGCAAATAGTTCTTGCAGTTAAGTGTAGCCCATACTAATACCACTGCAATCTGGTTATTCTCACGTGTTTAACCCTCTTATATTTATGAATTTATATTAAGTCTAAGGTGTGTAGTTTAAAACTGGGACAGGTGGGAATCGTAAAATTTGAGAAAAAAATTTAATTCTAGTTATGACCCAATAATGTTAAACTGTTAAAATATACTCCTATAACTATGATATGTAAGTGCCATGCTAAACAGTATTGCTATGTAAAACAATGTTGTGCAATGAGAATTACTGATCATGCAGACCCCTAAAGTCTATTTTAATTTTTTGTTTTGTTGTTTTTTTTTTAAATAAATTCAATCTCTGACCGTGTGGCTGTGTTGTGCTAAACTTTCTTATGAACATACTGAAATTATGTTTTCTACTTGCAAATGGTTGTTTGAGAAATTTATTTAAAATTGCAGATGATCCGGGGGAATTATGTGACATTAAAAAAATAAAATTATCAGGTACCAGCCTGAAAGTAGAAAGGTTCACTAGTTATCTTCTGTGTTTGATACAGAATTCTGCTTCTCTTCCACTGTGACTGCTGGGGGCTCAATTCTCATTTATCCTGAATATTGTCAGCATTTTCTTGCAGCACATATAAGATATTGTGAGCTGGAGATTTAATTGCTGGAATTAAGCCATTCATTAGTAGTCTACTCGTGGACAGAACCAGCACTATTAACTAATGAAGCCGTGCTGTGCTGATTTAGGCTGTAACACAGATCAGTAGTTGTAGCAGCGAGTGTCAGAATCCCTTTTTGTAACTGGTGCAGGCTCAGAACCCGTGATCATTTTTACTTATGATGGGTCTGTCTATTAGAAAGATCAGTAATATCTCTGGGGCACTCTCAAGCTCCAGAACAGTGATGTTGTTCATTTCTCTGTTGCTCAAAATGTTTCCTGGCACATAGAGCGTAACCTGTGGTCCTCGATCCGGCCAGTACCGGCCAATGTTAAAGCCATTTATCCATACCTGTCCCTGAAAAATACGTATAAGGAGATAAATAAATAAACCTCTATAACAAGAACAGGTTCCACCGAAAGAGCAGTTTTTAATGTGTATATTAGAAGTGTTATGTATACTTTTAGCTATATAGCATATGCTGGTCTCTGACCCCAACAGATTATCAAAAGAACATGTCATTGATTTTATTTTTACAATTTAGTAGATATACCACAACAGAGCATGCATGTATTTTTTTCCTGCCTGTTTTTTTTTTTGGGGGGTGTGTATATTTAAAAAAATTAAAAAAAAATCAGCTTGCAAAAGCTTTCAACATTTTTAGCCTGTGCTGGGTAACTAACAAGCGCCTGCTTTCCTATGCTTCTCAACGAGCTGCAGTATAGCTCTGCGAAGGTGGGGGGGTAGCAAGCATTGCTCTAGTTCTGTGCTCTAGCTACTCCCACTTCTGTTAGTTCTGTTTAACGAACGGAAGAATAATAAAACCTCTGTGGTTGTATGATTGACAGCTAGGGAGGTGTTTTTTTACCCCAGTTATAAAAGTGCCAATTTCTATTGAAATCTGCACTCTCATAAACAGTCACATATATGACAGACTCCAGACACACAGCAATTCAGCGAGCTTTCTGGAGTGTTTCTTTAACTAATGCATAGATTTGCTTGTGAGATTCTAAACAATGTTTTACTGAAAAAAAAAAAATAAAGCTTCTAAAATGTATCCTGACATAATAAAAATCATGTACGTGGAATGTTACCTTTGTCCATTTAAAGAGTTTTAAGAAGGTGTCTCCTGTAACAGCAGTTTTGAAAGTCCCAGTGTAGACTGCAGGCCCGGTGTGGCTCTCTGGCTGTGCAGCCATGATGATATGGTTTCTGTGCATGTGTGGCCAGTTTTCTGCAATTAGACCATCTATATTCAAAGGATAAACCAACCAGTCGGTAAGGATGTCTACTCCGAGCGTCAAGTTGGACACCAAACCCTACGCATGGAAAGAAAGTAAAGTTTAATTTACTAAAATTATTCATAACTGGTGTTTATGACCCACTTCGTTCTATGATCATCAAACAATAGCCACCGGTGATTTACATCACGATCTTAATGGGTGATACATTTTACCTTCAGGTCATTGACAAATGATCCAAAGTTTATTCTTCCCATATTTTCCACCAGAATATCGAGCCAGTCCCCGGCACTGCCAGTGACATTGATCATTCTCACATGGTCCCTTTCTAACACGCCGGTAAAGCTCTGTATCGAAAAAAATTACAGTTATCATGACAGAGCCTTTGATGGTAGATGACCATTTGGCATTCATAATCCCTTGATTCTAAAACATCTTACTTCCTTGATTATGTACCCTACGCACAAAATTTTGTGGATTACATTCATTATTATATTCAGCTATTCTGTCTCCTTGTTCAACGCGTGAGAATGTCCAGCGTCGTTTCACGGCATCAAACTCTGTGAAACCGCAGGGAACACCTCTAGTAGCTGTCCGGTAGACAGCCACCATGGGTAATCTTAGGCCTGCAATGTAAACATTGTGGTTTCTCTAAAACTGTTTACATTGCAGGGCTAAGGGGGGCAGGGTCAGTGCACCAATACCACTTCATTGAGATAAAGTGGTTTGGGTGATTATAGCGTCCCTTTAACTCTAAAAATGTAATTTCCCTATTGTTCTTAGACTAATACTTTCGGGGAGGGGGGAAATTACATTACTCTTCTATGGAGAAGACCCTGATGTAGTAGAATCAATGTGAATTTTTCTTACCCCATCAATAGTGATATAAGCCCGATCACGGACACCGTTAAAGGGATCCGAAAGAGAGGTCATATCTGGTATCTCCCAGGGCACTCGCGTCCGGTACAGCATGAACCCAAAATACTGAGAGAGAACAGAGAGAAAATAGTTAAATGGAAAAGCAATACAGATTAAATAAACTAGAGGAACATTATAGATTTTTTTAAACAAAATTAAGAAGTGTGTGGATGCAAGTCGTAGAAACATTGGGTCTTAAGTATATTTAATTTTTAAGCAGATAAACTACCAGCAGTTATACATATGTATAATATAAACAAGTTACAAGTAGGTTCAGGGGATAGAAGGCTATTAAAATCACAACATTCATTGATCCGTTTATAAAGACAATACAGTTAGGTCCAGAAGTATTTGGACACTGACACAGGTTTTATTATTTCAGATGTTTATCAAAATAAATTCAAGTTACAGTTAAATAATGAATATGCATTTAAAGTGCAGTCTCTCCACTTTAATTTGAGGGTATTCACATCCAAATTGAAGTAATAGTTTAGAAATTACAGCTTGTTAATATGTAGCCCCCTCTTTTTCAAGAGACCAAAAGTAATTGACTGAAAAGCTGTTTTATGGACAGGTGTGGGGTATTCCTTCGTTATTTCTTCATTAATTAAGCAGGTAAAAGGTCTGGAGTTTATGCCAGGTGTTGGCATTTACATTTGGAAGCTGTGGCTGTGAACCCACAACATGTGGTCAAAGGAGCTTTCAAGGCAAGTACATCCTTGGGCGACAAAACATTCCACCAGAAACATTAGGAGAGGCCAAATCAATTGTTTGATACATTCTGAGAAAAATAGAATGCACCGGTGAGCTCTGCAACACAAAAAGGTCTGGACATTCATGGAAAACAACAGTGGTGGATGATCGTAGGATCCTTTCCTTGGTAAAGAAAAACCCTTTCACAACATCCAGCCAAGTGAAGAACACTCTCCAGGTAGGCATATCAAAGTCTACTATAAAGGGAAGACTTCACAAGAGAAAATACAGAGGGTTCACCACTACGTGCAAGCTATTCATAAGCCTCAAGAATAGAAAGGTTTAACCATTTATAACTTATTATCGTTTTTATCTTTACTTTTATTGGAGGCTTAATGCCCAAATAAAATGTCATATTTTGTACTGGATCCTACCAACAGATTCCTGTTCCTTGATTGGTCATCTATTACAACCAGAGAAGGAGAGTGGATTACAATAGCCCTTTGAGGGCCTCAAGGCGCTGATTCAATGTACCTCTTGTGAGTGCAATCATTAGCCACTTGATTCACTTTATATTACAATACATCACTATCTGCGGTTCCATTTTGTTCTTTTTATAGTGCCGAGCTGTGTCCCATATCTGTGTATACAGAGATCAAGAATAGAAAGGCCAGATTAGACTTTGCCTAAAAACATCTAAAAAAAGCCAGCCCAGTTTTAAAACCGCGTTCTATGGACAGATGAAACCAAGAACAATCTTGACCAGAATTATGGGAGGAAACAAAAAGTATGGAGAAGGTAGAGGCAATGTGAATTGATAATGTGACCAAAGATTTATTGTCTGCTCAGATTCAGCCAAATTCAAAGTTCATTGGCTGGTGCTTCACTTTACAGATGGATAATGACCCGAAACATACTACATAAGGTAACCCAGGAGTTTTTTTATGGCAAAGAATGGAATATTCTGTAATGGTCAAATCAATCACGCATTTCACTTGCTAAAGACAGAAAGACCCACTAACAAACAACAACAACTGAAGACAGCCGCAGTAAAGGCCTGGCAAAGCATCACAAAGGACGAGTTGTCTGGGATCCGCGTGGCCTCCGCCATATTTGGTAGGTCTCTCGATTTTCTGGCAATCTTTACAATTTCACCTGTTATGCCAGGAAAGCTTCCCAGGGGATGACTGGGATTACCCTCACCGGCCCAAGGGGGTCGGGGGGTGGTAACGGGGCACCTGTTCGAAGCAGACAGTCAATTGGGCAGCTCTGCACTGGGAAATCCTCCGCCTTTCCCGTCCGGTGCATGCTAGGCCGCATGTTGTCCGTTCACGGTCGCTTCACCGGTTCACCTTGAGGTCTGAGGACTAGTAAGTCGCTTGGTTTACTCAATTGGAGCTATATGAGGTTGAGAAATGCCCTACTAGCCAAGATTAGTGAGCAGCTCGATCAAGGCACATCTTCCCTCCATGACAGTCAGGCCCCGCCCACCTTGTATATTGATTTTTAAAGGATAGAAAGGACTTTCTTTTAATTGATACTTTATGTAAATCTAACAACACTAAGTGTGAATAAAATGATAAAAAGCACCACCACATTGTTTTACAACCTTTACCTTACCTGGACATTAACCCTAATGAAACCTTCTGCTAATATCAGTACTGATATAAACAGATAGGTTTTCTAGTTAAAAAAAAGTAGAGTGGTATGTTGCCGAAATCTATTGGCTATTTTCAGTATTACATGAATATTTTCCTGTCATTCTGAATGAAGAACAGTTTTCTGGCCGATAACCGCATGATCGCTGCTGGCCAGCACCCATCACAATTGGCTTGAGGACATGCAGGGTGACCCTCTCAGGGCATTGAGAAGCCTGTAGTCGTAGAATCACATGATCATTCAGCCGTGTTGTTCTTAATCGAGTTAAAGGACTGCATGCTGCTCAACAGTTAGTCTGTGGTCACTAAAAATGGCCCTAGCCGACAGAGGAGAGCCCCAAGTATCTTCTAATACATGGGTTTGAGCAGGGGCTTCTTCAGCTTTTGTCTCTGTTATTTTTTGTTGCTAACTATCTCCATTCTACTATTGTAAAGTACTTTGGAATATGTTGGCGCTATTTTTTAATAGGTCTATTAGGCAATTAATGTTCATCAGTTAGCTCTCACTCACAATGTATACATCTAGAGGGTGGCCCATTTGTCCATATTTACAAACAGAAACAGACGTCCTTTGCAGCCAGGTATTTGAAATAAAAATCAGCAATAAACACTTGTGAATTTGCTGCCTGCACCAACTTTAACTATATCAGTACAAAATGTTAAAAGCGAAAAAACAAGAGGCAAATGTTACCTGTTTGGCATCCTCAAAGGTTATAGGGTATCTGGTCACAATCGGACCCCCTGGGCACAAAATATCCAAAAAATCTGTAATATCTCCAACCTAAAAGGTAGAAGGAAGCGGATTAAGGATGGGCATGGCGGTATCACTGTACAGGTAATATCATGTAACACACACAAAACTTACCTTCTGCAACTTCACCACCCCATAATCATACTTCGGGGTGGGGGGAGGCATTGGGCCTTCTGGAACTGGCAGAAACTACATAGATCAAATATATAAACGGATATGTTAGCGGTGGGAATCAATGCAGCAAATAAGCCCTGTATGATAGCTCACTCACATAAATTTAATTTAAACCATGTATATTTGTGATGTATTCTTACAGCTATAATAAGGATTCATACCTGCATGATTTACCCTCACTTTACTGGAGAGCTAAGGGTTAGCCCAGTGGGTCCCAAACCAGTCCTCATGGCACCCCTACCAGTGCAGGATTCAGGTATTACCCAGTTGTGTCAAAAGAAAACAAAAAACACCTTATACCCAACTGGCCAAACCCTAAATCCTGGACTGGTAGGGGTGCCTTTGGCATCCAGTTATAATTGATGACAATAAAATGGCCTTTTGAAACATAGTTACTCCTTTAGTAACAAGGATCATCTATCAATACCCATCAAACTAAGCCTACCTGGCTGATCACAGATCGTAATGCAAATAATTTTTCTGTGGGATCCCCAGCTTCTGTTAAGGGAGCATCGTAGTCATAGCTTGTTGTAATTGGCTTGTACTGTTCCTTGTAATCCGCTCCTGTAGATATAAGACAGATACCGGCTTCATTCATTTCCATCAATACTGGTTCAGGGTTATTCAATAATATCTCAAATTGGCAGGAGTAATTCGTAGTAAATCATCTAGCAGAAAGCATGCAATTCAGAGGACAAAATATGTAGGTTGTTCGCTAGATTTGTTCTGTTCTGTGATTTACCAAACTACTTCCCAATTGATGCGAACTTAGCCGGCTCTAAAATGACTTAAATTGCCAACGATAAGCCTCAGTAGTTTATAATCACCTTCCCACGGTTATAAGTAAAAACATTTTCCAGCAGTTTGACATAGGACGGGTGCCCAAGTACCTTGCCCTTTCAGCACCTCATCACGGATATTGCGGGGAAAAAAATTGTGTCTTTTTTTTTTTTTGCAAAAACTGGAAGAATTGCAGGTAGTTATTTAGGACAAAGATACAAAACACATAAACATTGTGTTGGTTCCAAAAGCTATAAATCGTATAACTTTGTGGTGGTGCATGCGAATGCCATTTGCCTTAATATATATATTATGGTAAGCGTTGTGGATCTACCTATTGTGTATAAAGTAATGCCAGCTCGTGGTTCTAGATATATCCACAGACCACTGGACCATCAGTATCTTGGTTTATTAGAATGTTTGCACCATAATGTTTGAGATTTAGATTTTCAGACAACATAATGTTCTGAGCAGGGATTTAACAGATATGTGGTTGAGCATTTGACATCACATAGAATAAATAGAGCTGTTTCTAAGCTGATAGATACATAACTACTCTCCATGTTATAAATAAGAAGCTGTGAATTGGAATTTTATACTACGTAGGGACTTGCATTTTGTGCAATATAACCCGTGCTATGAGCATGCTGTTTGGAGTGTCCGTTTTACACAATAAATGTCTTCCACTTGAATATCCAAACTCATTAGGATTTTTTTGGGTTCTAATTTTATATATCCTGTTTGCTCCCGTATGACTTTCTTGTTTCACTTCCTCATTTGTTTTCATGCACTCTCTTACCGTTCCAGTAGCCGAAATTTGTGCCTCCTTCAAACATGTACCTTAAGGGGAGAAGACAATAATTGAATTCACGAAATCTGGAATATTTTCTACAATCACAGCATGGAGCCCCCTTCCCGTCACATTAATAGAGTTTTTCCCCAAAGTGAATTTTAATTTCTAGCCGGAGTAGCCGAGTTGAAACCATAGCGGACTCAGAGAATGTTTCCAGTTCGGGGGTTTTGACCTTAAATTTGAAATTCACCTGGAATCTCAATGTAGTAAATAATCCTGCAATATGTCCTGGTACCTTGTACATTTACACGGGCCTGTTGTAAATGTACAAGAGTACTGACTCTAGAGTTATGCCACTGTTATAATTTACACTTTTTTAGAAGTAGCACAATTTTATCAAAAGTGGTGACCTCCTTACCCCCAATTTGCTAGTACTCACATATTGACATTTGCCCCCATTTCCAAAATAGTCTGTAGACCATGGCTAACCATCTGTGGGCTGGCTGTTGAATGGTTTCCCCCCCAGTAATCCAGCCATCCTGTGTAATATTCAGAGTTTACCTGGAAGAGATTAGCAAATAATCATTGGAACAGGAGGTTACATTCAAAATCAGACAACACACCAACAATTGTATGTTTACAGGTAAGCAGAAAAACTACCTTACAAGGTTACCTACCAACAAATCATTTTAGCATAATAATAGAAACTCAAAGGTATACTGCAAGCACCGTGCTGTAGTGGTTATGGTGCCAGGAGTTTTCTGGCAAGCCCCTATTGTAAATATTCACACTTTTAGAATTATTTGACCTCTAACCTGGGGTCCCCTGATAAGAATTAATACAATTCTAAACCAGTTTGAGTACTTATATAGGAGGGGGCTCCAGAGTCCCCTGGCACCATAACCACTACAGCATGTTTTAAAATAAAGGGCTGCATAAAATAACTAAATAGCCACTAAATAAGGGATAAATATAGGATTGCATAAATGTGATTAATATTGGGTAGTGATGTCCCGAACGGTTCGCCGAACGGTTCGCCGTGGACTCATCATTGAGTAAACTTTGACCCTGTACCACACAGTCAGCAGATACATTCCAGCCAATCAGCAGCAGACCCTCCCTCCCAGACCCTCTCACCTCCTGGACAGCATCCATTGTGAAGCTGCATTCTTAGTGAGCTGTCCAGTAGGTAGGAGGGTCTGAGAGGGAGGGTCTGCTGCTGATTGGCTGGAATGTGTCTGCTGACTGTGAGGTACAGGGTCAAAGTTTACTCATTGATTAGTCTGCGGCGAACCGTTCGTGAACCGTTCAGGACATCACTAATATTGGGATATAAAGCAAATTAACATAGGTTCATTGGTGTGTGGGATTATACGACACTTGTATTTAAGAGGGGAACACAGCATTGTTCAGGAAATATGAAGGCGGGTGAATTGATGGAGTACCCGCTAAATAGCTGATACCGAGTAGTAATTTATAAATGCTGAGAAAGTCATCTCGTTGTCATACCAGAGGTCCAGTGGGCTGATATCTGCGCAGCAGGTCAAAGGCTTTCTTTGCGTCATCCGCTGCAAAAAAAAAGATAATATTTATTTAAGAAGGAAAGACCCCTTCAGATATGTAGTATACCTTTTTAAAAATGTTGACTACGTGTGTAAAAAAATTTTTATGATGTATTTTTTTTTTATTTTTTTTTAATGTAATGTGATAGTTTTCAGGATGAAAAAAAAGTTGCTTTAACAACTAATTATGGAAATACAAAAAAAACCAAACAAAAAAAACAAAACATGCAATTGATCACCTGGGCCAAAATCCACTGTGGCGTGCATCCCCTGCAGACTCCCGCACTTGAGTTCGCGATCCGTATTCCCATCTGTAGTGAAAAGTACAACATCGTCTCCCAAATAGAGACGGAAGGTATGGAAAAGATGGCGCATGTAGCTGTAATCACAGGCATGGTAGCTGCCATACTCATTCTCCACCTTCCAGGGTGAACGACACATGGAAAACAAATGGAAACAGATAACATGAACACATTGATACACACGCAAACAACTACATGGCAACATGTTCCATACTGAAATGACAGTGTACCACGAAATATATGTACGAGTAATTGGAACTGGTATTAAAATATTAAACTAGAATATAAAACATATAAATGGGGTGTGCGTAGTCTGACAGTCTGATAGGATATAGCCCATATTGTGGTGTAGTTGTGGTATTATGAGAAGTACTAGAATATTGCTAGCGTACAGCCGGTGTATTAGGCAAGTCTGAGATTCCAAAGCACCACATGTCTTACACACCAATCCTTGTCACTTTCTGCACCTTGTCAATTATGCTTTTTGTAAATTAAAGGTACATTAGTAAAGGAACCAACATTGTAGGAAAATAAACTAGATATGGGAGTGAATCGCAAACATTCACATCATCTGGAGATAAACAGAGAATAAACATGCGCAGGGAAGGAAAATGGGCCAAACCAGATACATCTTGGTCCTTTTAACCGACCTGCCTTGTCTTTTTAAACACATAACGTCTCCCCTCGACTATGTCTTTACCATATTACACATAGATTATACGCTTTTAAAGGACATGGTGTGAAGTAATTTATCTTTGCCAAAGGTTTCAGACAGGCCTACCTGCTGGGATTTTTGTACATATGAGTTTTTAAGGTAAGACTTGAGGGAGATTCCTAGAAATGAAACAGTTTTACAGGAAGAGTCAGTACAAGACATGCTATTTCGTAGTCACGAGGTCAAGTCACCTGAACGCTAATTATATTCCCTCCATTGTTATAGAGACGCGGACGCAATCTCGGAAGCAGAACAGACAACCAGGAATTAACAGCGCTCAAATAGTCTGTAATTGGACCAAAAGAGGTATTAAATACAAACTGATAACATCCAGAGAGGAATAAAGCAACAATCAGAAATTTAGAATTAATTTAGAATTTTAAGCAAAAACAGCCAAATTTTCCAAGTCAGCTACGTTTCATGTTCATCTATTTTGTCCTTTAATTTTAAATTTGCTTTGAATTCCTGACAATTTACATGTTAGTGGTTAACCCTGATGTGGCGCTATACCAGGACACTTACTGACAATGCAGTAAATTGCTAATGGTAACAATAAGTCAAAGAGTTTGGCATAAAAAATACTCAATGCTGCTCTATGGGTTTCGTGGTTTAAAATAGAATTTTAGATCATTTCAACATTTGCCACAATTTTCACCTGAACTTTGTTTGTTATAAGTACCTGGATCAGAGCTTCGCAAAACTATATCTTTCTTGTTTAATAGCCAGGCCGGAAGACCCCCCTGAAAGGAAGATTCAGAAATATCTTGAGCCTAATGCAAAAGCTGGCAAGCACAATGTATAGTTGCAATTATTAGACAATTAAAGTAGGACACTCATATGTTGCATGGGTGACTTTTAAAGTTTTCATCATTTGAAAAATATATATTTATATACATGGTAGTATATGTTGTAAAATCCTCCACATTTACCAATTATCAATCCTTCCACTTAATTATCTCTCTCCAGTTAGACTGACTAGTCCTTATATAGAACTCGCCAGTCTCGCCAGTCTCAGCTGTAACTGAACTACATGTTCTAAAACATATTGTTTTCTTGAAATAGCTTATTCTCCACTTGGTTTCCAATCTACATTGACAAGAGTACAACCCGTCTGTATTTTACATATTTTATCCATAATTTGTGGTTACAGGTATATCATAGCAAAGAATGCAGGCCTAGCGCCTGTCTCTCACCATATCCCATTCGGAGCAGATGTATGGACCAGGCCGTACGATGACCAGAAGGCCCGTCTCATTGGCCAGATCCAGAAAATGTTCTAGAGCTCCGTCTCCTTCGAAATTAAACATACCGGGTTCTGGTTCATGGAAATTCCAGGGGACATAGCTGTTGAGGAAACAATTGCATTTTTTACTAGTGCAGGTGAATAGAGACAAAAATGGGTTAACCCCTTAAGGACACATGACGGAAATATTCTGTCATGATTCCCTTTTATTCCAGAAGTTGTGTCCTTAAAGAGTTAAGTTAGAAATGGTTTGACAAACTACGGCCCACATAAAATATTTAGGTGGAATTGAGAAAGTTGTAGGAAATCTGGTGAAAAAGACAAATAAGAGACCATTTTTACCAAATTACCAAGTTTATAAAACAAAAGGAAGCCACCAGAGAAAGAAAGGTCTCATGGATGATCAAAAAGGTAAAGTAATATATGTGACGATACTACTGTACTTAATTTAAAGGGCACATCATTTAAACACACAGTATCATAGGGAATCTAGTTAATAAACACCTGCAGAGGTAAGATACGCCATAACTGACAACCAGTAGACTAGAAGAATGACAAAGAAATAAATTAAAAAAATATTTAGAATGTTCAGAATGTTTTTGTTGTTTATTTTTTTTAATGAAAAAAATCTTACTAATTCTTTATTTTGTATCTTTACTGTAATTTCAATATTGTATCATGATTACCTAAACCATTATGATTGATTGTTCCACGCTGTTCTTTATTACAATTTTTAAAAAAACAAAACTTCATTTTTGTTTGGGTAATCCTTTTGACAAATTAAATATTCTCCATTGTCAGCCATGTTTCCGATTCATGTCTTTTGCCTAAAATTTTAAATACAGTTTGAATTCATTTGGAGTTCCCGACCACAATTTAGTGAATAATCCAGTGAGACCCTTTAGTAAAAATGAGGACAGAGTCAGAAGATCATAACAGCAATATGAAAAAGGTGCTCCTTACATCTGAATGGCATTTAACCCAGTCATGTACATCTTCATCAGTCGGTCCTTCCAGTAAATGGCCGGGATTCGGAAGTAGTGAATGCTTCCAGATATGTAGTGGAAACAAACCCCATCTTTCTTGAAGCAGTTTTGATCATCGTCAATTGTGAAAGATCGATCTCCTCGGGGCTGCAACAGTTAATATGAGAGGTCAATATCTGCTGAAAGTACAGAGCATCATTTGACATGAAGATATTTATATAGAAGATATTTGTAATTTTTTTTTTTTTTTTGCAGCAGAAAAAAAATCTGTCGTGATACTGATAACGTTAAAATAGGACAAACGCAAATGCTATTAGAATGCATGAAACTCCTCTGTTTTTGGCTTTGGGTAATAGGAGTTGTAAACCAATAGCAGATAAAATGAGAAACTATTTAAAATATATTGTCCAATACCGCACTGCAGGGTCAGGCATCAGGTAGTCCTCCTCTTGCTGCAGGACTACAGCTCCCATGATGCTTTGCCAGAGCTATAGCTAGAAGGGTACAGTGACTATTTACAAGGATGTTTCTTTATATTCATTATTATTGCCATCGGAGCATGCATATTAGAAATTAAATTCCCAAACTCCTTTTGAGTAGATATGAAGCTTTTTTCGAAGGGCAAACTATAATTATTATTTTTTTAGCGTGACACTACATCAAAATGCTTCAATTAAATTCAGGAACGTACTATGCAAGCTGCGGCAGATCTGGTTTCACCCGGAATTACCAACAATACCAAAATAAAATAGATAGTTTCAATTCCCTTTTACCCCATTCAGGATGAATGACACATGAGGACCGTGAAGACAGCAAAGGGTTTGCCTCGACCTGGTCTTGGTCTCAATGCAGTTTGGTAAACAGGGACAATTGGTAACAGCAAGCGTAACCTGGAAAGATGCACATAGTACTGGAGTAGGATAGCATATTACTAGCGGGGAGCAATGACAGACCCATTCTAATCAGTCTGCCTCTTTCTTGGTCTCACTACCAGTCTACAAGGGTGTCAAACACTATATATCCCAATGGCTCTTCCATCCTTATGGATATCTGGCTGGTCCTATCATCAAGGTGAAACACTACAGCCAGGTCACCAGACAGGGAAAGTAGGTTTGGGGTATGAGAGATTAAAAATTAACTAAGGAATATTTGATGTGGAGGAGCAAAGTTCGGGTCCATGGCCAGGCAGTGAAAATAGGAAAGGGGCCCAACATTAAAAGCAGCATCCAGGGCCCATCAAAGCCTTAAACTGCCCCTGGTCACTTGTTGGGGGCCAAATTTTGAACTCTGACCCTATTATCTCCTTAGACTTTATTTTAAAGCAGCCTTGACTGGGAATCCATGATCTGGTGGCATGGAGCTATTAAAGAGTGTTGTGCTGGGATCTAGAGGGTCAGGAGCATCTGTGATATAATGAACAACGGCCTTAAATCTGCTCTAACTGGGCATTCGTGACCTAGAGGAACAAGGTAAATCATTCAGGATGGACATCCCTGGTCTGAAGGGACTGGTGGGATGTCCATGATCTCCAGAGTCGGTGACATTAAAGCAGCCCTGGTGGGAAGTCCATGATCTGCAGAGTCGAGGACATTAAAGCAGACCTGGTGGGATGTCCATGATCTGCAGAGTCGAGGACATTAAAGTGGCCCTGGAGGTACAGAGGCATTAAATCAGCCCTCAACTCGCCAGTGCACCAATACCTTGGCCGGCTCCACACAAGACTCCTTTGCCCCACAATGCGGGACATAGACCCACACCCGCCAAGCTCCCACCACCCTATAGAGACGACCACTGGCATGATGCCTTGAACTGACACCCTGGCATCACCCTGGACTGCCGGCCACGGCTTCCACCACCGTAGAACGAATCGCAAGTGCAAGTATACCTTGCGGGCTCGCTTACACACCTAAACACTAACACTCACCCACACACACACACACACACACATCCGCTACACCAGGAGGGGAACCCCCCCAAATACACCCAAGATGCACCCAGACACCCTCACTATCTAATCAAACCGCAGACATACACACAGACCATACCTGCAACACAGGCAACCAGGTATCAAACGCACCTCTGAGGCGTCCAACAGAAACACACCTCAGGCACCACGAACACGCTAGAAGGGGGGAACACATCACTCACCAACCACTACATACCGTAAGATGAATGCTCCGTGTTCCTCAAGCAGACTCATAATTGTGAACATCCGAATTACTGTTGAGAGCGACTCTGCCTCGCCCCCTGTGAACAACCGAGAGGTTCCCACCGGGCGACGGAGACACCTGCGCTCACTGGTTCCAACAAAGTGTATTGAGTATATTGTTGTGTTTTTTTTTTGTTTTGTTTTTTCTTCTTCCCTGAACCCCTTCCCCCCTCCCCCCCCCTTACTTTTTGCCCTCCTCCTCCTACCCTGTTATATAAAAGGTGTGGGGTGACGGCGCACCACGGGGTGCAAACCTCATTCTATTCCATGAGGGGCCCCCTGTGCTGCGCAAACACACTCAAACCATCTCTAAATGTTCATAAAAGTTTCTGATGTTCTCCCTGATACTGGGATATAATTTGTGTAACCATGTTTTGATATGCTGTTATTATATTGTTCTCACGAATACTGTTCTTATATCCGTATGCACGCTCCCGACACAATAGCGCAACGATAACAAGATAGCGCCCAGGGGCGACCATCACGACCATTCACATTGTTGTTAACTGATCCGCTAGAACGGTACTACCCCTCTGGATGCCAGACACCACCACTATTAGGCAGCAGGAGACGGATGCTGACAGACAGTGATACGTCACCAGACGACACCCCAAAGTAGGTGACCTACCTAACCACCGACGCCACCTGCCCCACGGGTTCACTGCCAAGAGACTGTGAGGTGACTACGAGGACCTTGGTCCCCGGACACACACCTACCAGTGGCACATTACCCCTTACAACAGTCGCCTCTGCGACTCGACACAACCGCTACACACCACACCGCTGGAACTACCCCCTCAAACCCACCCAACCTCCCCTTCCATCTCCCCCCCCCCTCTCCTCCCCTACTCCACACCCCGCCACCCGGATACGATGGGCCCACCGCCTCTCGCCCCCCACGCCCCCGGGCACGCGGAGATAGGAATTAACCTCTACACAATCAACGCGAAGGGCCTGAACTCCCCACAAAAACGAGCAAGAGCGCTGCGAGAAATTCGAGCACTTAAGATATCAATAGCTTTCTTCCAAGAAACACACTTTCTAGCAACAAAAGCCCCCAAATTCTCAGATAAATACTTCCCAACCGGCTACTACGCGCATAACCCCTCCACCAAATCCAAGGGAGTGGCTATATTATTCTCGGCAGACACCCAGTTCCGCCTGGAAGCAGAAGAGAAAGACCGAGACGGCAGATACCTCTTTCTCAAAGGACACATAGGGGACGCTCAAATCACACTCGCGAACCTCTACCTCCCAAACAAAGGCCAAAAATCATTCCTAGCCTCAGCCCTGAGAAAATTGGAGGCGTTCAGTGCAGGAACCGTAATAATAGGAGGGGACCTCAACGCCCCTCTAGACCCCAAGATGGACACATCTAAAGGGAGCTCCACGATCCCGGACCACGTCCTCAGAGGACTGCGGACCCTTTTGACAACTCACCAACTTGTAGACTGCTGGCGAATCCTACACCATACAGAGAAAGACTACACCTATTATTCAGCGCCACATAAATCCTACTCGAGGATTGACTACTTCTTCATCCAACACAGGGATCTAGACACACTGTGCTCAGCCCACATCGCCCCCATGACCTGGTTGGACCACGCACCAGTAACACTCACCATCGACAATCCTAGAACCTTCCGATCCCAATGGACATGGAAACTTAATGAATCACTCTTAGAGGACCCACTGATCCAAACAGAAATTAGGAACACACTAGACCACTTCTTCCCCACCAATCAAAAAACAGAAAGCGCACCAACGACCGTCTGGGAAGCACACAAATGCACTATCCGAGGGATCCTCATCAAACACGGCACTCGCCTGAAAAAACAACGCACACAGGAAATAGCACGCCTTGCTGCCCAACTGGCGCGTCTAGAAACGCTTCACAAACAAGACCTCCGAGACGAAACCTACAAACAACTCCTAGAGACCAGAGCGAAACTCAACTCATGCCTCACGTCCAAAATACGATTCCAGTTCCAACTCACACAAAAAACGTTCTATGAATACGGAAACAAAAGTGGTAAACTGCTCGCTAGGGCGCTGAGAGCCCGGAGACAGAAAACCCATGTTCAAAAGATCTCCCTGGCAGGAAACACACTGCGGACCCCGAAGGCTATAGCAGAGGGCTTCAGACAATACTACTCCTCCCTATACTGCCTACCTCCCAACACCACACGCACACACGAAGGAGAAGAGGCTCACACAGCACGGCAAAAAACATATATCGAACAGAATATCACTACAACGCTGACACCCCAAGATATAGCTACACTAGAAGAAGATATCACTGAAGCGGAGATACGCCTAGCCATCAAACTGGCCAAACTGGGGAAAAGCCCCGGACCAGATGGATACACGGCAAAGTACTACAAAATGTTCGCAGACAACCTTGTCCCACACCTACTTACACTATTCAACTCAATACATAACGGAGACCCCTTAGACCCCAACATGCTCCTAGCACACGTCGTGGTACTCCCGAAAGAAGGAAAAGACCCCTCCTCATGTACCAGTTACAGGCCGATCTCCCTGTTGAACACCGACCTCAAACTGTTTGCCAAAATACTGTCCCTGCGCCTCCAGCCCCTGATGCCGAGCCTTATCCACCCTGATCAGGTGGGCTTTGTGGAGGGCCGGGAGGCCAGGGACAACACTATCAAGACACTCAATCTTCTCCACGCGGCCCGAGAAGGACACTCCCCCGCCCTGATAGTCTCGACCGACGCGGAGAAGGCGTTCGACAGGGTCGACTGGTCTTTCCTGAGGTCCACCCTGGAACACCTGGGACTGGGACCCCACATGATGACGCGCATTTGGGCCCTATACACTGCTCCAGCAGCCCGGGTGCAGGTTAATGGGATTCTCTCCGACCCATTTGAGATCAGAAACGGCACTAGACAAGGGTGTCCCCTATCGCCCCTACTCTTTGCCATCAGCTTAGAACCATTCCTCAATGCAGTTCGAGCCCAACCCCGCATAACTGGAATCGAGGGTAGCTGGGGAGCCACCAAGGTCTCTGCATACGCGGACGACCTCCTCTTCACAATCACCAACCCGGCAACCTCACTTAGGGAGCTCACGCACCAATTTGACCTATACGGCACCCTCTTCAACTTAAAAATTAACTTTACGAAATCTGAAATTCTCAACGTAAACTGCCCCCTAGCACTGACAACTACACTGCAAACAGAGTTCCCTTTTCACTGGTGCAAAGAAAGGATTAAATACTTAGGGATCTGGCTGTCGGCTGATGTGTCGGACACCTACCGCATCAACTTCCCACCCCTCCTCGACCGCATACAGAAGGACCTCGACTCGTGGCAACTCCCGCACATAAAGTGGCTGGGTAGGATCAGTGTCCTCAAAATGAATATCCTCCCCCGAATCTTGTATCTCCTACAAACCCTACCAATCCACATTCCCAAAACCTTCCTAACACAAACCCGTAAAACACTGATGGCCTACGTCTGGGCCCGCAAAACGCCGAGGCTGAATTTTGCCACCCTCACCAGACCCAAACTACAGGGAGGCCTGGGACTACCCGATATCACAAAATATAGACATGCTATACACCTCCAGCGAGTGATAGAATGGACACAAGACCCGAAAGACAAGCTATGGATCCCCATAGAGGCCAGCTTCTCACGGATACCCCTGACACTTCTACCCTGGCTGCCGAAATCCATGGCCGGGGAACTGCCATGGAACCACCCAACCCTAAACGCTACAATGGCAGTTTGGAGGAGACTGGCGACTCACACAGACGTAGCCCCGGAGCTCTCACCATTATGCCCCATATCTCACAACCCGAAATTTGCCCCTGCATCGGACCCCCACTACACGGCTGCCCTGGGCCTGCCGACCCCCTGCAGAGTGAAGGACGTCTATGACCAAGGCACAATCACGCCCCTGACCACCCTGGTCCCGAATACCCCACACAATATGCTCCTATGCTTTAGATATCACCAACTGACGAGGTTTCTGAGAAGCATACCGACCCTAAATTCGGCAACGCGAACACTCTCCGTATTCGAGACCATATGCATGAACCCCCCCCCACACGCAATATCGCTACTATATCGCATGCAAACCACCACCACCACTAACGCACCCCTCCCTTACTTCACAAAATACTGGGAAAGGGATCTAGGACACTCAATTTCAACGGAACAATGGACAACGGTGTTTACACTCACACATAAAGCCTCCATCTCCACCAAATTCCAAGAAACAGGATATAAAATGCTCTCCCACTGGTACAGGACACCGGAAAAACTTAGCATGATGAAAACCACAAATGACCCGGAATGCTGGAGATGCGGGAGAGAACTGGGATCCCTCTTCCACATATGGTGGTCCTGCCCCCTTATCCAGCCCTTTTGGGCAGAGATCCACAAGATACTCACAACCATAACAGAAGCAAACCTACCCCTCTCACCAGACACATACCTGCTCCAACTTACACAGACCCCCATCAACAGATTTAAAAAAACAGCACTCCCACACCTAATAAACGCAGCCCGCAGCCTCATCCCGAGACACTGGAAACAACACATGGCCCCGACTATCAGAGAATGGATAACGAGAGTGGAAGACATCAGACGCATCGAGGAACTCATCCACTCCGCAACGGGACGCATACAACGTTACCATGATGCATGGTACCACTGGCTCCAATGGCTCGCCTCCACCGCACCAATTACGGGGACCACACAACACCTGACAGCAGAGGCAGATGGGACGGTCCTGACGGAACTGACGGACGACAATACGGAAGCTGAACCACCGACCCAACCAAACCAAGACGACCACTCAGAGCCGGAGATGCCCCCTGCCCCGGAGGCGGGGGGGGTTGAGGTGGGGACCCGGGACCTGACTCCCCACCCCCTACCCTCCCGCACCTTACCCTCACCCGCAATGCCCTCAACCCATTAACCTACATTCCCATCCCACCCGCCCCCCACAACACACGTTAAAATACATGACCAACTGCCGACAAGCTGCCTTGAGAATGCCACCTACACTCGCAGAAACGCCACCTCCCTTACAGGACAGACTATACACCACAGCACCCACAAAGACCCACCATGACCAACACATATCGGACAAGGGATGAACCAACCCAACAAGACGCCCAATACCCAAGTGCACTACACCACGATACCAGAACCCACCCAACCCTCACAACCCGGGACAGCACCCGCTCGACCAATACACCCCCGACACTAATAGGATCCCCAAACAGACACAGAAGAACACCAAACACAGAAGGGACACCCCAACAAGACTACACCCCGACGCATGACACACGCACAACCACCGCCCACACACATCAAAGAACAGCGACTAGCGCAAAGGGGATACCCACAACAAACGCGCACACAGGACAAAAACTACCTGACGGACCCTCGACCCCCAAACGCCCCACTACTCGACAACCACTCCCTACCCCCCACCCCAACGGATCAGTAGAGACGCTCTCAGGAAGCAGGGCTAGACAAGGTCACAGCAGGAGCACTAAAGTTTCTGCCTTATCGCAGTTTATCTGCTTCCCAACACAAACATACCAATTAACAAAATGACTGAATCTGAGTGTTCTCTATAGCTTTCATGTCTAAAGCTTGTGAGCGTGGCGAAAATACTCTCTTTCTATTTTTCTAAGACTAGTTCCTTCTTGAAAACTGTCAATGCTGAAAGATGTTGCAATGTAGGAATGGAATCAGATGCTCGCTATTACTTTGTAAAATTGCTCTCTTCACATAAATACTAACGATACCTTTATACCAAATGAACAATAACTGACATGTACACTATTTTTGCCACCTTCTGTATTGATGCATATAACTTTGTATTGCCAATCGTTATGATGTCAATAAAAGCAAATTGAATCAAAAAAAAATAAATAAAAAGAGTAATAGAACCCCCCAAAAAATTAAAAAAAATAAATCAGCCTTCAATGTTCATTCTCAGTGTGCTGGAACTTATGACATTGCCCATCAGATTCCATTACTGTATGGAATAGTGTCTCAGCTTGTCTGGACTGCTGGCAGGATGGAATGCGTTAGGTTAGTACCATTGTATAGTGGTACCCTTCCTGTGCCGGGAGCTGGATTAAGAGCACACGCTGCATTCCCTAGATTTTAAAGATTATAACGGCTCTTTTCCAGGAAATTTGGATTAACAGGTGCAAAGATTACTGCGTGACCATGTTGCCAAGTGTAAAACAAGCCTGCTGTGGATTACAACACCCATCAATCCTGTAGTGCAACTGGAACTGGATGCAAAATATCTTGTAACACCTTGTACAAGCTAGCTATTAATTTACAGTACTGGACATGGTCATATTGAATAGCCCATGCTAATAGCGCTGAACCCTTTCACTGCCACAGCCACCTTTGGGGGATGAAAGGGTTAATTATTCAATACAGAAGGGCTTTAAATGCAACAGGATGCTTGGGCAGGATAAATTACATTAAAAATGTCTACTGTCTAATTATAGACCATAACAGAGATGCTTAGTGTCAGTGAGTGTTACTCCTATATTAAAGCCCCAAGGACCCAGGCAGCCCATATATTACACTGTACATTCCGGGAATTAGCCTGTGGCCACTTACCTGCTCATACAGTAAGCCCAACAGCAGGAGGTACAGGAGCCTGGCCCCCATGTATGGCAATGAGAGAGGATTCACTGAGTCTTTATTGGAATCTTTGGATGGACCATGTATCCAAGTAAAGTAATTGTATCACAAGCTTTCTGTCCCCTGTACTATAAACTATAAACTCAGTCCAGCCCCACAGAAAATCACATGATCAAGTTCCAGTCACGGGGTCCTAAAGCCTGAATCAGTGCCCCAGCTGTGTTAATAGGCTGCCTCTGGCACACAATGACAGGCTGAGTGAGTGCTTTCAGGAAAGGAAAGGTGGCAAGCAGTCTGTATTGTCAGTTTGCCAGGTCACATGATGCCACCTATTTACCTCTCTGGGTGTTTTACAGAAATAGTCAACAAGAACATGTCACATATTAACATTGAGAAGCTTTGTATCTCAGTCAGTGATGGGTAATCCTGCAGGCTGGCTAAGTGGCTGAGCAGCATCATGGGAAAGGTAGTTGACAAACAGCTATGACTAGCAATGACTGCTGTGGGGTGCTAGAAATGACAGCCCCCTGTCCATATGTGCTTGGAAGGAAGTGAGAAGTCAATAGTTCACCCCTCCATTTCCTTCCCTCGGCTGCCGCAAGCGCAGCTTATGGGGAAACGCTATGTGCATTACGGCTCACGCTGTAACAGCAACTTGTGATTGGTGTAAGATGCCTCACAGGAATTTTTCAAGGTTGGTAGGGAATAATTATAATGTCTGCTTTGAAATGAAAATACAAAGATGTATTCCTAACACTAAAGTGTCCCTCTACTCCCGTGCCCCTGCCACATCCATTGAAGGGTTTAAACCCTTTTTTCACTTACTTGATTCCAGCGCTGAGGTCCGTCAGAGCTGCGTCACGCTCCTCATCTGCCGACGTCAGCCAATAGGGATAAACGTTCTCCCTTGCAGCGCTAGTCTCTGGCGTTCCGCTCTGCCTCTTTGGCTGAGATAATCGAGAAAGCATTGGGAGGCTAGTGCGCATGCGCAGCAAAATGCCGCACTGTGCCAATTAGATGGTCTCTCTCAGTGGAGTGTTACTAGATGCATGTCAACTCTGCAATAAAAATATTGCCATTCCTACATAACAGCAATATTGTCAGCTGCAGGGTTAAATCGGCGGGGACATGGCTATGAGACGAAGTGGGCTGGTTGCCTATAAAGTCCCTTTAAATAAAGATCACAAGCTTACTCCAATTCAGGTGTCTCTGTGTGTTTCTTTCTCTGTGTGTTTGCTTATTTTAGTTTCCTTTCCATAACATATACGCTACTTACATTATTGTGATGGGGGATCCCCCTTGAGGAAGAATATTGCCCAAACGTCGGGATTGCTGTATCTCCTGCTTTGGGTTAGTATGTCTATGTTATTTTTGGTATGTGGGTTATCTCATTGAGCACTTATCTTTCAATTTGATATGTACAATAGGTATGTCATTCTTAATTCGCATGCCTTATATACTGTTTGCACTTTACTTGTACTATTTTTTATCACATTTCTACTTAATAAAATCTTTTTTATGTGCAAGACTAATCTGGTGTGCTTTGGATTTTTCAATATTATATACATATATGGTGAGAAAAGGAGAAACAAAAACATAGTGCAGCGCTGTAATCAGTAAAAATGACACTTTATTGTATTGCACTCACAGAATTGACATTAGTGATTTTAGAGTTGTGGCATGACATCACATGAATCTGTATATGTAACAGACCGTTTTGCACACAAGAAGTTAAAAACCGTTTAGGCGATATTCCCCTTTCCAATGCACAGGCAGCTACTGCAATCACCAATCTCCCGAACTGCAAACTACACAACTCCTCTAACTCCCGAACAGGAAACACACGAACACTGGAAACAGCTGAACAGGAAAAGCATACAATCAGCTTACACTCCTGGCAGTCAGCATACAATCCAATTCCCCCAATAACGAGACGACACTTCGTTTTGAGGTCAAGCACAATTGATTTACTGGGGCTACCTGCCCGGCTTTTATGCAGGTCTTCCACCTGATGGACACTCCCCTAGGGGACCAGATGGAAGACTGGGAAACATATTGGCCATTAACCAATCACAGACATACACCTTTAAACACACTTACAATGCATCACAGTTCCTCCTCTCTATCCTGGAGGTAATTGGGAAGTAATCCAATTATCTCCCAGGACAGAGGCAAAACTCCATTGAGCACATGTTAATAAAAAGACTCAAAAATCCCCACTGTTGCAAATAATTAACAAAACACATACATTCTACATATCCCCAGATAGCTTAGATCTGAGCGCACATTATTACCGAATGGCGCTCAGATCACATACATACAGTTCAATCGCCATAGAGCCAAAGTCTTTCCCATAGTCTTTCGTTACACGAATGGGCTCCATGGCTTAGCTATCTGGGGTGATGCTGTTCATCCGGGTAAACTACCGAATGAACAGTCATTGTTCCACTACCGAATGCAGAGGTAAGGAGGCTGGCAGCTCAGCAGTGTTCGCGCAAATAAATGTCCGTTTTCAGTTCCATAGTTTGGGCGCTGAACACCGCTGGCCGTTCGGGAGTTAAAAATGGCCGCTGCCACGTTTTCGGCAAACGAACAAAGGCCACCCAGCTTTCGTCAATTAAGTTGCGGTTAACCGCAGCTTCTGGGCGGTCAATTGACGGCACACTCCAGTTCCCAGGTGGTCCATCGTTCGGTACTTTGTTCGGTAGATTGAATCTACCGAACACCCCGGCAGAAAGGCATGAATAAGCCTTTCAGCAGGGAAAATAGAAACATTTAACCACCGGGCCATAGTCTAAAGGGAGCAGGCGAGCAACCAGACTCCTCCAGTGCACAGTGGCGAGGTTGGTTCCACCACAGTACACTTGACAGAACTTGATACCAATTAGCAATAACGAGTCATTTTGGATAAAAATAAATAAATCTAATCAGCTATGACCATTATATGTGAACTTGCAATGCAGGAAGAGGTAACATTCACTTAATTCTCATGGACAATGCTTGAATTGCCAGGGTCTGCACTATAGAAATACACTGTAAGCACCATAACCACTACAGCTTATTGTACTCTCTACAATCTACAGTTTTTTGTCATAATGTTTTTGAGCAGCTTGACAAAAAAACAGCATTGGGCCGCCCTCATTCTGTCAAAATGATGCATTAGTTTCACTTCTGCGTTATTTGTCGAAATTTTAATAGTAACGATAGGACGAGAACAATGGAGGAAGCTGAGCCATGCCTTTTATTTCAAAGAACAAGTGAAATTCTACATAGTCAGCAATGGAGGAGGCCCTTTTTTTTTGCTGAAACTCTCAAAAAGGTTTTGACAAAAAGTTTAGAGAGTGCACCCAGAAATCTCTTGCACCATAACCGCTAGAATAAGCTGTTGAGGTCATGATGCTCAGTGTGCCCCTTTAAGCATCCTCCCTTCTTAAATATAGGTGGTACAATGCTTTGGTTTACATGAAAGTTGCAATCTTTACCACTTGTTTAACACATTCGTCTAGCCCTAGTCTATTTTTGAACACGCAGACAGCATGTTAAATAATTCACCACAGTGTAACCAATTATCTTAGATGGTGCTAATAAATTCACTGTGAATAAATACATTCCCCAAGGGCTATTTGTAGATAACGAGAAACTAAGTTTTTTGTTTGTTTATTTTTTTTTTTATGAATGCTCTTTGACTAGGAGAAAAAAAAATTACAACAGGATTACTCACTAAACTGTGAATGGTAAGGGATTGACCAGGTCATTTAAAATTTTAGGGGGGAAAATAGAAAATAGATAAGAGTTAAAAAACAACAATTTTGGCATAAAAGTGTCAATTTCCTGGTCAAATTAATCCTGACAATTCAGAATATGGTGAATAACATTTACAGGTTTGACACTAAATCACCAGGATTTCAAAGTTTATTTATTCATTGTCTGGAGGTAAATAAATGTGTGATTTTCTGTATTTTGTTTCAGGACTCTCTCTGTGTAAAGGATGCAGGATCTGCATCCACTGCAAGGAGATACAGTTACTGAGGCTCATGGAGTCTGCGTTGCCAGGCAACCACACTCAGCCTGCCTGGGCAGAAGGAGGGCGCCTTTCCGTGACGTCATCGAGACGCGCCCGAAGCTGCTCCTGAGCGGTGGTTCCGGTGTGAATGGAGAGAGGTGTCGCGTTGGCATTCCCGGGGAGCAGATAAATCGGTATATTGTGCATCAAACTCCCAGGGGCCAGCTCTATCCAGGCCCCTGCCACAGTCTGGGTTATTACTGTAATACCCCTTTAAATAAAAAGGGCTGATTTATAGTGTCACTTAATAACCATAACCAAATATTACTATTAATAATAACTGAATATCACTATCAATAATAACAACCGAATATCACTATCAATAATAACAACCGAATATCACTATTAATAATGACAACCGAATATCACTATCAATAATAACAACCGAATATCACTATTAATAATGACAACCGAATATCACTATTAATAATAACTGAATATCACTATCAATAATAACAACCGAATATCACTATTAATAATAACAACCGAATATCACTATCAATAATAACAACCGAATATCACTATTAATAATGACAACCGAATATCACTATTAATAATAACAACCGAATATCACTATCAATAATAACAACCGAATATCACTATTAATAATGACAACCGAATATCACTATTAATAATGACAACCGAATATCACTATTAATAATGACAACCGAATATCACTATTAATAATAACAACCGAATATCACTATCAATAATAACAACCGAATATCACTATCAATAATAACAACCGAATATTACTATTATTAATAATACCCGAATATTACTATTACTAATAACCGAATATTAATATTATTTTATTATTTATATAGCGCCATCAGATTCCGTAGCGCTGTACAAAGGGTGAACTAACAGACATTTAATAATATTACTATTATTATTAATAATACCCGAATATTACTATTATTAACCGAATATTACTATTATAATAGTAGCCGTATATTACTATTATTAATATTACTATTGTGCTGTGATTCCCCTTCATTGTGCCAGGGATGGGATACCTAATGCAGGGGGTTAATAATGTTATCACAGTTGTAGTAGGCCCCTGCTGGGGTCAGAATTATATATATCTATATTTCCCCCATATAATATGTGTTTATATAATGCTACTGGTGTGTAGAATAAATGTATTAAGTCATGGAGAAGGTTAATGGGTAGGATTGTATCCATTCCAGCTCACATAGCATCTCACCAGCTAGCCAGGGTAAGCAGGTCAATGTATTGTTTATTTTTTGTTCTATAGTTGAGCTGTTAACGTTTTCCAGATATCAGACAGAAATTGGGCAGGTTCTCTGCTCCAGGATTTAGTTTATGAGGAACAACCTGGTTCACAATGTCACTGGTCACCCAAGCTGCCAAACTCTTATGTGCACTGTTGCAGTTCAGACTCTGCATAGGTGGAGGTGAGAAAGCAAATCGTTGCAGTTATAAACCACGCGAGAAAGAGAGACGGAGAGCAGGGTACTTAAATGCAACCCTGCCTCGTTGCAAAAGTTATTGCGCAGTAAAGTGAGTCTTTAAAGGTTCCCTGCTATGCTGAGTACAACTTTTTTCTTTTTAAAAAGAATGAAAATTCTATTTGTACAGTGTGCTAGCAGATTTGCTAGTAAATGTATAGATAGGGAGAAAAAACTATTAAAAAATATCTTCTCCTCACCTGTCAATGATTTCTTCAAACTCTGTGATGAAAAATTGCATGATTTTGCTATTACATGACAAAAAGTCATGATTTTATTAAAGACACGGTGGCGAGTATTGCAAATCCCTTTCTTTACTGTCCACCAATAGCAGCAAAGGATAAAAACTGAATAAAAAAAACAATGAACATACAGTAACATAGGCCCCTCCCTGCACAGGTCCCAGTATAATAGGCAGCACTTTTTTTTTCCCCTCTTTCTGAAGATGCGACACTATACACAGAGTCCAAAACAGGAACAGCAATATAGTATGAGATAAACAAAAACATAGAAACTTCAACCCAAGAGGTGGATCATAACATCAATTAACATGGAAGCACAACTTGATGACTGCCGACCAAACTGTATTCGCAGGGAGAGGTCTTCACATGCCCTTCACAAAACCAGACATTCCACCGGAGCGGATTAGGCTGTGAAAACATAAAGAACAGGAGCCCAAGGGTAAAATCGGTACTTGAGACTGACATCAAGGCCAGACAGAGCAAGGCCCAACAAACATTTGCAGAGAAATAACCAGATAGACCCAAACTACATAGTCAAATCCCTTCCAACACAGATCCAACTTACCGTACCAATCAAAGCGATACGTGTCACCTATACATTGAAATAAACTGGGGGGGAAAACCTGAGTAGTATAAAATGGGTGGGACAATACTCGCCTCCGTGTCTTTAATAAAATCATGACTTTTCGTCATGTAATAGCAAAATCATGCAATTTTATGACAAGAAACGGAGGCTCATATTGCAAGTTTAAAGCTGATCAACTACTGCCGCAAACGTATGAGGAACCGGTCTGAAGTAGAATTCCAGAAAAAACGATTCCCCTGACCAGTTGGCCATCTTCATGAGGTCCTCCAGGCGCGCGCCTGAAGCCATCATTGAAGATGCTGAGGCCACCCTGATCGAATGGGCGCCGAAAATCGCAGTGTCAATACCGGCTTGAGAGAGTAGCCATTTAACCCTTCGAGACAAAGTGGTGCTAGTTACGGGTTGAAACGGCAGATGGGTAGATAAAAATAGATGGGGGGGAGGATGTGGAACGGTGTAGCTTGGTGTGATCCTCATATTCGCGTAGGCAAGCCACCGGACATAGCGCCGGTGTAGTGGGGAAACTCGGATAAGATACTGACCTAATAGACATTTTGGTGCGTCTGCTGATATTGAATGTCACTCCTTCTGGGGTATATGATCTGGCATTAAAGTCCAGTGCTCGGACATCCGAGACCCTTTTACAGGAGATGAGACAAAACAAACAGACCAACTTGGCTGATAGTTGTCTTAGGGAGAGCGCAGAATTAGTGGACCAAGAAGCGAGGAAGAATAACACCACCGATACATCCCAGGTCGCGGTGTAGCGCGGTCTGGGTGGCCGAGAGAGGCGAGAGCCCTTGAGGAGCCGGCACACCAGGGGGTGCTGGCCCGTCGGGCAGCCATCGAACCCCTGATGTGTTGAGGAGATGGCCGACCGATATAAGTTGATGGTCCTGTATGCCTTACCTGCTTCAAAGAGGGAAGTCAGGAACTGTAGGACCGCAGTTGCAGGGGCTGAAACAGGATCCATGTCCCGAGCCAGGCACCAACCAGCCCAAGCTCACAAAGCTGACCCATATGCCCGTCTAGTGCTGGGAGCCCATGCCGCTGCCAGTAGGCGTCTAGTAGTGTCCGAAACTCCCTGGACCTCCCAGGGTCCCCTGAAATCCGCCACGCCAAGAGCGGGAGGGAGCCCTCTAACCGGAGAGGGTGGCAACACCCTATCGGATCCAGAAGAAGTTCCTGGGAGGGTAGCAACAGTCTGGGATAATCCACTGTCATTCCGAGAAGTTGAGGGAACCTCAATTGTGTTTCCCAGAATGGGGTCACTAGGACCAGTCCGGCCTGATATCTGCAAGAGTGTAGAAGGGTGCGAGGGATCATGGAGAACGGGGGGAAAGCATATAGGAGGTCTACGCTCCAAACCTGCAGGAAGGCGTCTACTGCCTCTGGCCTCCAACTGAAGAATCGTGGGAGCTGGGTGTTGAGCCGGGAGGCGAATAGGTCTATAGCAAAAGGGCCCCAAAGAGACGATATACTGGAGAACACTTTCGTGTCCAATTTCCAGTCGCTGGCATCTGATAGATATCGTGAGCCCCAGTCCGCCTGGACGTTGTGTAGTCCTGGCAGGTATTCCACTTGAACCACCAGGTCCCGGTCTAAGCAAAAGTCTTTCGCCAATCTGGCCAGGACCGCAGATTGAGTACCGCCCAAGTGGTTGACATACCTCACCGCTGATACCTTGTCCATGCGGAGGTGGATGCATGTATGAGCTCGGTCGTGAAGCTGCGGATCGCGAAGGAGCCTGCCACGAGTTCCAATACGTTGATGTGGAGTCGGGATTCGGATTCCGACCAGCGACCCCCTGTCGCCACACCCCCGCAATGAGCCCCCCAGCCATGGAGGTTTGCATCTGAGTCGATGGTGAACTCCGTCATGGAGCCGAAGATTGCCCTGCCGTTCCAAGCAGATTGGTTGAGGATCCACCATCGCAATTCGTCCTTTGTCTCGTTGTCTAGCGATACCAGGTCCGCGTAGGATGCGCCGGCCCTCAGGTGAGCTATTTTTAAACGTTGCATCACATGGTAATGGAGCCGATCCAGGAACACTAGAAAACCGGGATACCTTCAAAGGTGATGTGTTCAGGAGCAAATTCACTTTATATGTGACTTCGTTGGTATGGAAAAATAAAGTATCTAAAATGATAGATGGTAACTGTGCCAAAATGTATGGTGTGTATACCTTTAAATCTGCTACAGGCAGAATCTGTTTGGTACACACCGAATGATCTGCTTAATGCAAAGTTATTGCTAAATACAAAATAACCATATGAGACCTGGTTACCTGTTATGTATAAAATTAACACACTGTTTAAAATAGTGTGTATATTGCTTTAAGTAATCCGTTGGAAAACTAAACAGTGCACGAAACAGTATAATATTTCAATAGGGGGATATAAAAAATTCCATAATAACTGTATTGGTTATAATCACTTGAGAATTAAGCAAGAACTACAAGTGAAAGTAAAAAACCACTAATAACAAAATGTATTTAAAAAAGATAATGTAGAAATTTATTCATCATATAAAAAACATAAAAGAATAGTCCAAATTTGGAATAAAAATACAAATACAAAAAATGGGAGCCAGGAACGATTAGCAAGTCTTTAGCCACTGCAGATTTTGCACAAATAGCTTCATCCACACTGTAACTGTTAAGGATTACAGTGGATACTATTGTATCAAAAATGAAGAGAAATTACTTGCCGGCTGCTGGGGAGGTTGGCGTGCGTGCCAAACCTCACTCTGATTCTCAGATGCTCGGCAGTCCGTCTGTCCCCAGGTCGTAAGTGCCGTGTGTGGGAAGAGGAGAAGTGCTGCTGCTGGCGTCTGGCTGCTCCGTCGTATCCTGCTCACTCTCACTGCTGGTCTAACGTGTTTCGTGGGTGTCAGCCGCACTTCTTCAGAGACATGCTGCAGCTGAGTTAGGATGTGTGTCTTATATACAGAGCTGATGGGCTGCGTGTATTATTTGTTAACTAGACATGTAAATCTCATTTTATATACATAGAATAGATGTAAAAACAAGTTGTGAGCTAAGAACAAATTAAAAATAAAAATAAAATAAAATACAGTGGTTTGATACTTATTGAAATGATACATACACAAATATAGTATTGAATGTGTAAATTAAAATTACTATATCATAATCAGTTTTTAAAATTTTTTTAAAAAATTGGAAGTTGGTAGGCTTATTAGCAATTATAGAATTGATTATAATAAAAGATAAATCAAAAAGGGGAATGGATATGTACTTAAAAAACGATCTGTGGAAAAATTGGATATATTATAAAAAGGTCATAGAGAATTTGAAGTAGAGGCTGTGCCCCAAGTTACATTACAAACCCAAATGGTATCATAAGTGATTAATGTAATGTGAGAGGATCATAAAAGCATTAGAGTAAAGGCTGTGCACGGAGTCATATTACAAATGTAAATGTAAATGATATCAGTAGTGATTAGTGCATACTAGGAAGAATATATTCAAATAAAAGCTGTGACTGAACTTATAATGTCAATGCAAGTAGTGTCAGTATCTCAATTAAATAACCAGATGGGATTTTACAATATCATTATCATAATGAAATATCTAAAATTGTAAAGAGAATATGTGAAAGGAGAGAAAAATATGAGAAAAATATGAGTGCAGTAATATTATACTACATATATAGTGTCTCTAATGAGGTAGATAATGGTTGGATAAAATATCCTAAAATGTGAATTACGACTATATACTGAGTAGGAGAACTTAGTGCAAGAAATTAGAAAGTGATAAATGATATTACTCAATATAAAGTGAGCAGTGTGAAAATGTGCATGTGTATGTATAAGTATGTATAAAAAACTGGGTTGTAAAAAAAACAAAAAAAAAAAAACAAAACTTTATAAGAATGCATTAAGTTCAAAATCTAGATTGAGACCCTTAGGGGCCAAAGTCTCTAGGTGGAATATCCACCTAGCTTCTGTTTGGTCCAGATTCTTATCTATATCGCCCCCTCTCCAATTTACATCTACCTTTTCAATCGGTAGGAATCTTAGTCCTGTGGGGTCTCCTCCGTGAAAGTCTTGGAAATGTCTCGACAAATTATGGGTTTGGAGACCCCTTCTGATGTTCCTTATATGTTCCGCCATCCTCGTCTTCAGTGCCCTTTTTGTACGTCCTACATACTGTTTGGAACATGGACATGTGATGAGATAGATAACTCCTTTTGAATCACAATTCATGTTGGTCTTGATATCATATTCCTTCGTGCCATCCATAGATGTGAATTTGGTGATTTCAAGATCCAGAGAAGGATTATTTGTACACGCAACACATTTTTTACACCGCTTGAAACTTTTTGTAGCCATCGTGTCTTGTTGGATCTTACATTGCTTGAGAGTTGGAGCCAAGAGTAATTGTAGATTGGGTGCTTTAGTGAAGATGATACGTGGTTGATTCTCCAAAATACCTATCAGGGAAGGGTCACTCATGAGGATATTCCAATGTTTCTTTAGGATTTTCTCTATAGTGCGAGATTGGTGGTTATATTGGGTTATGAAAGCTGGTATGGGTTGATTCATCTCAATAGTTCCAACTTTATTTTTGAGGGTATCTTGTCTTGGAATGGTTAAAGCTCTAGTTTTGGCCTCAGTAAGTAATGTTAGGGGATAGCCTTTATTGATAAATCTTTGCTGCATCTCCTCCATTTGTTCACCGCATACTTGTGTGTTTGAGCAATTCCTTCTAATCCGCCTAAATTGGCTATATGGGATGTTTTTGAGCCAAGTATTCTTGTGGTGGCTATTAAAAGGAATAAAACTATTACAGTCTACTGATTTTTTAAAAGTTTTGGTTTGTATCTGGTTGCCTTCTATATAAATGTTTAAATCCAAGAACTCAATTTGATCACATGACTGATTAAAAGTAAACTTTAGATTGTAAGGGTTGTTGTTGAGGTAGGTCTTGAACAATTCAAGGGAGTTCTCATCTCCTTTCCAGATAAAAAAGCAGTCATCTATGTATCTTCGCCATAGGGACAGGTTTGCGCCAAACTATTAAACCTTTTATCCGATTTTAACTGGTCCAAGGACATGATTTTAGTTACAGCAGACGTCACCTCACTATATACAGTGATAGAGCACTTACAAGGATGCGAGGCAATACAATATTCACTGGCAACTTATTCAGAACTAAAGAATGACCAAATTGACTTCCTAATACAATGCATTGCTTTTATACTTACTCACAATTATTTTTGGTGCAATGACCAATTTTATTTACAGATTGAGGGAACCGCCATGGGGACTCGTTTTGCGCCAAGCTATGCGAACTTATTCATGGGCAAATGGGAGGAAGAATTTATATGGGAACATTGCCCATTTGGCGCAAACCTGTCCCTATGGCGAAGATACATAGATGACTGCTTTTTTATCTGGAAAGGAGATGAGAACTCCCTTGAATTGTTCAAGACCTACCTCAACAACAACCCTTACAATCTAAAGTTTACTTTTAATCAGTCATGTGATCAAATTGAGTTCTTGGATTTAAACATTTATATAGAAGGCAACCAGATACAAACCAAAACTTTTAAAAAATCAGTAGACTGTAATAGTTTTATTCCTTTTAATAGCCACCACAAGAATACTTGGCTCAAAAACATCCCATATAGCCAATTTAGGCGGATTAGAAGGAATTGCTCAAACACACAAGTATGCGGTGAACAAATGGAGGAGATGCAGCAAAGATTTATCAATAAAGGCTATCCCCTAACATTACTTACTGAGGCCAAAACTAGAGCTTTAACCATTCCAAGACAAGATACCCTCAAAAATAAAGTTGGAACTATTGAGATGAATCAACCCATACCAGCTTTCATAACCCAATATAACCACCAATCTCGCACTATAGAGAAAATCCTAAAGAAACATTGGAATATCCTCATGAGTGACCCTTCCCTGATAGGTATTTTGGAGAATCAACCACGTATCATCTTCACTAAAGCACCCAATCTACAATTACTCTTGGCTCCAACTCTCAAGCAATGTAAGATCCAACAAGACACGATGGCTACAAAAAGTTTCAAGCGGTGTAAAAAATGTGTTGCGTGTACAAATAATCCTTCTCTGGATCTTGAAATCACCAAATTCACATCTATGGATGGCACGAAGGAATATGATATCAAGACCAACATGAATTGTGATTCAAAAGGAGTTATCTATCTCATCACATGTCCATGTTCCAAACAGTATGTAGGACGTACAAAAAGGGCACTGAAGACGAGGATGGCGGAACATATAAGGAACATCAGAAGGGGTCTCCAAACCCATAATTTGTCGAGACATTTCCAAGACTTTCACGGAGGAGACCCCACAGGACTAAGATTCCTACCGATTGAAAAGGTAGATGTAAATTGGAGAGGGGGCGATATAGATAAGAATCTGGACCAAACAGAAGCTAGGTGGATATTCCACCTAGAGACTTTGGCCCCTAAGGGTCTCAATCTAGATTTTGAACTTAATGCATTCTTATAAAGTTTTGTTTTTTTTTTTTTGTTTTTTTTACAACCCAGTTTTTTATACATACTTATACATACACATGCACATTTTCACACTGCTCACTTTATATTGAGTAATATCATTTATCACTTTCTAATTTCTTGCACTAAGTTCTCCTACTCAGTATATAGTCGTAATTCACATTTTAGGATATTTTATCCAACCATTATCTACCTCATTAGAGACACTATATATGTAGTATAATATTACTGCACTCATATTTTTCTCATATTTTTCTCTCCTTTCACATATTCTCTTTACAATTTTAGATATTTCATTATGATAATGATATTGTAAAATCCCATCTGGTTATTTAATTGAGATACTGACACTACTTGCATTGACATTATAAGTTCAGTCACAGCTTTTATTTGAATATATTCTTCCTAGTATGCACTAATCACTACTGATATCATTTACATTTACATTTGTAATATGACTCCGTGCACAGCCTTTACTCTAATGCTTTTATGATCCTCTCACATTACATTAATCACTTATGATACCATTTGGGTTTGTAATGTAACTTGGGGCACAGCCTCTACTTCAAATTCTCTATGACCTTTTTATAATATATCCAATTTTTCCACAGATCGTTTTTTAAGTACATATCCATTCCCCTTTTTGATTTATCTTTTATTATAATCAATTCTATAATTGCTAATAAGCCTACCAACTTCCAATTTTTTAAAAAAATTTTAAAAACTGATTATGATATAGTAATTTTAATTTACACATTCAATACTATATTTGTGTATGTATCATTTCAATAAGTATCAAACCACTGTATTTTATTTTATTTTTATTTTTAATTTGTTCTTAGCTCACAACTTGTTTTTACATCTATTCTATGTATATAAAATGAGATTTACATGTCTAGTTAACAAATAATACACGCAGCCCATCAGCTCTGTATATAAGACACACATCCTAACTCAGCTGCAGCATGTCTCTGAAGAAGTGCGGCTGACACCCACGAAACACGTTAGACCAGCAGTGAGAGTGAGCAGGATACGACGGAGCAGCCAGACGCCAGCAGCAGCACTTCTCCTCTTCCCACACACGGCACTTACGACCTGGGGACAGACGGACTGCCGAGCATCTGAGAATCAGAGTGAGGTTTGGCACGCACGCCAACCTCCCCAGCAGCCGGCAAGTAATTTCTCTTCATTTTTGATACAATAGTATCCACTGTAATCCTTAACAGTTACAGTGTGGATGAAGCTATTTGTGCAAAATCTGCAGTGGCTAAAGACTTGCTAATCGTTCCTGGCTCCCATTTTTTGTATTTGTATTTTTATTCCAAATTTGGACTATTCTTTTATGTTTTTTATATGATGAATAAATTTCTACATTATCTTTTTTAAATACATTTTGTTATTAGTGGTTTTTTACTTTCACTTGTAGTTCTTGCTTAATTCTCAAGTGATTATAACCAATACAGTTATTATGGAATTTTTTATATCCCCCTATTGAAATATTATACTGTTTCGTGCACTGTTTAGTTTTCCAACGGATTACTTAAAGCAATATACACACTATTTTAAACAGTGTGTTAATTTTATACATAACAGGTAACCAGGTCTCATATGGTTATTTTGTATTTAGCAATAACTTTGCATTAAGCAGATCATTCGGTGTGTACCAAACAGATTCTGCCTGTAGCAGATTTAAAGGTATACACACCATACATTTTGGCACAGTTACCATCTATCATTTTAGATACTTTATTTTTCCATACCAACGAAGTCACATATAAAGTGAATTTGCTCCTGAACACATCACCTTTGAAGGTATCCCGGTTTTCTATATTTCCAGACAGGTTTTGGGTGTATTCCTGTCTTCGTTCAGTTTTGAGCTATTTACTTTAAGTCAGACTCCCTCACTCCTCTGTGTTTGCATTAAACAGACCAGTTTCTATTTTCCTGTGATCCAGGAACACTGCCTGAATGGAGGATGCTAGGAGGCCGATGAGGCGCGCCAGTTGCCTCAAGGTGAGTTGCGGCCGTATGAGAGCTCTGCGGAGCTCCTTGCGAATCAAACGAGTCTTGGACCTTGGATAGCTCGACGTGGCCGCCTCTGTATCCACTAAGAATTCCATACGAGTGGCGGGAGTCAGGCACGACTTTTCCTGGTTGATAATGAAACCCAGGCGAGAGAGTAGGTTCATCGCCAGCCGCTGGTGTGCCAGAAGTATGAGCAGGATGTCGTCTAGGTATATGATTAGACGAATGCCTCGAATGCGTAGCCAGGCCATAGCTAGGTGCAGCAGTTTCGTGAAGAACCATGGTGCTGATGACTGATGACAAAGGGCAGGCAGGTGAACCTCCAAGTCCCTGTCCGCCAATGTAAACCATGGAGATCTCGGGATGCTTCAGCTATAGGCACCCTTGAGATCCAGCTTTACCAAACAATCCTTGGGCGTCCTTCCCGTCCTCTGTTAGGGCAAGGTCGGCCAGTTTAGGCTCTATTTTAAACAAAATGGCTTTAATAGAGAGGGAGGTGTTTATGCTCCCGGCAATACAAATAGCCCTTTGGACCCAACCACTGAGGTCTTCGGGGTCAACCATATGGTTTCCAGCTCTGGCATCCTCCACCAGTTCAAAAAGTTTTGCCAGTGGGCCAAATATGTCTAAATGTTTATCCTGGCATGCTTTCAGGGCAGAGTCTAGGTCCTTACGTGGGTTCCAGCCCAATTTAGTTAGGAACTGGGTCATTTTCGGATCAACTTTAGGGGTATCACAGACTTTATTTGGCACCATAGGCCTTGGACTCTCTGCCCTCAGTTTGTTCCGTGCTGCTTTACTGAGCAATTTTCAAGGTACTTGGCTACATGGTATGCTGGGAGCCACTCCGCCGACCTCGGATGGTAAAGCTCATCCCGGTCGAAGAGAGGTTCGCCCAACGGATCCAAGAAGGTGGAACCTGCAGTTGTGGGGTTAAGCGCCCCCGTGTCACCTCCGGACGTGTCTGCCTGAGCAGAGGGAAGGAGGTCAAGTCCCAGCTCAGCGGTCTCAATATCAGAGTCGTCATCGTCATAACCTCCTCACCTGACCCGATTTTTGAGTCGGAGTCACTCTCAGGTTGTGCTCTAGCACATTTCCAGAGCCTCTTTTGCGTGGGTGGGACACGCTTTCTGGGGCGACTGTAGGTACGCCAGTCGTAACAGTTCTGGAGGCAGAGGGGTGTTTGGACTTATGGGTCGCCTTCTTGGATGCGCCCTCAGACAGGTCCACAGTGGGACGCGGAAGAGGCGTCGTGGAACCTGACATTTGCGCGTCCAAAGGACGAGGCAGGAAGGGCTGGGAGATGGTATGGGAGAGGGTAGAAGATATGGACCCCATGGCTGCCATAATGGCATCTGTCATCGAGTGCTGTAGCGCCAAGAATTGGTCCCCTTCAAGTTGGGTGGGTCTATCTGCCAGAGTAGATGGCGTGTCATAGATGACAGGGGTCTCTCCCAGAGGCAAAGGGGCATCTCTCACCCCAGAGGGTGGTGAGCTGGAAGGCATCCTGGGTTTGGGCATATTGGATGCAGCTCAATATTCCTACTAGTGAGTTTACAGGGTAGTAAGGGTTAGTCATCCAAACTATAGGGAAAAGAGAACGATAGGGATCTCACCAGGGTCCAGACCAGAGGCACACAGACACACACGAGGTAGTATGAGAGACAGGAAGTTGGAAAATGGCCCTCGCGATATTCACGGCAAAAACCAGTGAATTCGTCAATAGAAAAGAACCGAACGTTCGGTAAAATAGGCGAATTCGTTTGAATAAAACAGACGAATGTAAAACAGACAAACGAGTAAACCGCACGAACCAATTAGTCGAACGCGGTAAATAGGCGAATGTTGCTATATGCCGGTGAAACTAACGAACGGTCTGTGTTCGTGAATTTAGCCGGACGGCTAGATTCGTGCAGAAAACAGCCGAACAGAACGGAGAAAAGCAGCGCAAAATGGCGCCAGAGGACAAGGAGAGGAGAGATGGCGAGAAAATAGATTAGAGCAAATCATAGAAAAGCCAAACTGAGAGTGCACAGATAGATGTTTCACACAGAAGGTCTGGAACCCTGGGAGACAACAATATGTATATACACACATATAATAAACATAAATAGATAAACTGAGGAGAAAAGATTCCTTAATAGAATCAAATAAAAGAATAGTATTGAATCTGTCAATAAAGAAGAAACAATAGAACAATAAATGACAATAAATAGCAAAATTAACAACCATAACTGACAGAATAAATAAGTAATCTATGAGAGAAAAATGTGGAAGGGAAGTGCTGCCTATTATACTGGGACCTGTGCAAGGAGGGGCCTATGTTACTGTATTATCATTATTTTTTCATTCTGTTTGTATTCTTTGCTGCTATTGGTGGACAGTAAAGAAAGGGATATGCAATATGAGCCTCCGTGTCTTCTCATAAAATCAGAGAGCAGAGAATACCAAGGATAGCAGCCACAGCAAATGTACTGTGGGTGCTTTAACTCCCTAGCCCATGCTGTTAGCGCAAACTAGGAAGCATAATAACAGAGTGACGGATATTACTCCGTTCGGACGAACACAATGAAGGTAGTGTCGGCATTACAAAGCCAGTGTCCCCAAAGCGAGGTAAATGAAAGAAGTGCGTGTCAGACTGGAGCGTAAAACCCTCAAAGGTGAGGACATAGCCGCTATAGATTGCAATTGAAGTGAATTCATATCTCACAATTTTACATTGAATACGTAATGTAACTCTGTGATATATGGTGATTCAGTGCATTTGGTGTGGGGGAGGATTGAAGTGAATTTGTCTTGACAGGTTCACTTTAGGCATGCCACAAGTTTGACAATAGTGGCAATCCCACACTCACAGAAATAGTTCATTTATGAAAAAAGGTTAAGCAGAGCCATAGCCCAACATTTTACTGGCTTAATAAAGATCTCCTGTGTGAGAGTAAAATGTTTTTTTTTTTCAGACTAGACCAGCGATGGCGAACCTATGGCATGTGTGCGACAGCTGGCACGCCGAGCCCTCTCTGTGGGCACGCAGCTATAGGTCGCCAGTAGGGTGCCCACGGGGACGGTCCCTCATTTTGAGAGTCTGTCCCTGGTCACAGGCACCCTCATTCCGGGACAATGTAGTGTTTCATAGAAGCGTAGGTTTATTTTGAAAAGTTCAGTATATATAAAAAAAAAAAAAAAAAACAGCATCCCCCCTACTAAACCACAGCACCCCCTCTACTAAATCCCAGTCCACCTCTCTAATAAATTCCAGTCCCCGTCCCCCCATATACTAAATCCCAGTACTTCCCTCTAGCCAACAAACATTGCCGCTGCCAGTATGCGACTCCGGAGTCCGGCCTCTGGTATACCCCAAATGGCACCGGCCGCACCATGTGCCAAATCTGATCATTTCTCTACTTCTTGAAACCCTATGAAGGTGGGGCACGTTAACGTCACGTCAGAATCTGACGTGGCATTGCGTGCCTCCATGCACCTCCAGGTACTCCACTGTCTAGTCGCAATCAATGCAGCACAGACCAACACACACTCACTGACAGACACACACATACAGACACAGACAGACTTACTCACTGACAGACACACACACACATTTACACATTCTTGCACTCACATCATTTTGTTTATTGCTCCCTACCTTTGGGAGCTTCTATCTGGAGCTCAGCTTTCCTGCTCTTCACTGCTCACTCGCGCGCAGTTGAGTGATGCCATGTGACGGAATATGATGTAATATTCCAGCGCCCAGCATCACTACAGACGGCGCATACAAGGGAGCAGTGAGGAGCAGGAAGGCTGAGCTCCCTCGCTGCCGCCAGGAACCTCTCCTCCCCAGCCAGGTAACTTTTAGCAGAGTAGGCCCCTGCAATGTAGAGAAAGCCTACTCTGCTTTAATACTAAGCATGTACCTGCGGCTCATGGGGCCTCAAAGCTGACCATTGCGGACCGCGAGTTTGCCATGCTTGGTTTACAGAATGACTTGTGTAGTTATCTATTCCAAAGTTACCGTAGCGATCAGGGGTCAGAGCTAGGCTGATGGTGAAACCATTGTAATAAGGAATTCTAGCTCCCCCCTCCATACCTAGCCTTGTTGTTCATAAAATGCCAACTTGAGAAACTGAGCTGCTTTGTAACACATGACAAAACGTAATGGCAGAACACTGTGGGAATACTTAATAATTGATTAGCAAAATGTTAAGTCAGTTTAAGGAGATTCAAGTGTAGCCAGAGGCAGCACACCTTCTACATCAAACAATTAAATGCATGTACTCTGTTCACACACCTAGTTAAAGGACCCCACTAGCCACCCAGACCACTTCAGCTTAATGAAGTGGTCTGGGTGCCAGGTCCAGCTAGGGTTAACCCATTTTTTCATAAACATAGCAGTTTCAGTGAAACTGCTATGTTTATGAATGGGTTAAGCCTTCCCCTATTTCCTCTAGTGGCTGTCTCATTGACAGCCACTAGAGGCGCTTGCGTGCTTCTCACTGTGATTTTCACAGTGAGAACGCGCCCAGCGTCCATAGGAAAGCATTATGAATGCTTTCCTATGTGACTCGGCGCAGCTCTGCAGCGTGCGCATTCAGCCGGGAAGTTGGAGGAGAGCTCCCCGCCCAGCGCTGGAAAAAGGTAAGTTTTTACCCCTTTCCCCCTTCCTGAGCCGGGCGGGAGGGGGACCCTGAGGGTGGGGGCACCCTCAGGGCACTATAGTGCCAGGAAAACGAGTATGTTTTCCTGGCACTATAGTGGTCCTTTAAAGTTTTTACCCCAACACAGCACAGAGGCAGCTATCCAAAACACACTTGACACTTTTGACACCATCGCACAAAGTTAAGCAGTTAGAAGTGAGAGGCAACAGAGAGTCAAAGGAGTATATTCAAAGCAAGGTCTTGTTACCAGTGGGCTACCTAAGGGTTCTGTACTTGGACCCATTCTCTTTAAAGGACCACTATAGTGCCAGGAAAACATACTCGTTTTCCTGGCACTATAGTGCCCTGAGGGTGCCCCCACCCTCAGGGTCCCCCTCCCGCCCGGCTCTGGAAGGGGGAAAGGGGTTTAAACTTACCTTTTTCCAGCGCTGGGCGGAGAGCTCTCCTCCTCAGTTCCGCCCCGTCGGCTGAATGCGCACGCGCGGCAAGAGCTGCGCGCGCATTCAGCCGGTCGCATAGGAAAGCATTTACAATGCTTTCCTATGGACGATGGCGTGCTCTCACTGTGAAAATCACAGTGAGAAGCACACAAGCGCCTCTAGTGGCCCACAGGCTTTGGTGGAAGGCTTAATCCATTAATAAACTATGTTTATTAAAAAATGGGTTAACCCTAGCTGGACCTGGCACCCAGACCCCTTTATTAAGCTGAAGTGGTCTGGGTGCCTAGAGTGGTCCTTTAATGTTAATATTTTTATTAGTGATATTGCAGAAGGTCTTGCTGATGATACTGTAACAGATATGTAACAGGGTTGATGTTCCAGGAGGGATAAGCCAAATTGCAAATGATTTAGGTAAACTAGAAAAATGGTCAGAGTTGTGGCAACTGACATTTAATGTGGATAAGTGCAAGATAATGCATCTTGGATGTAAAAACCCAAGGGCAGAGTACAGAATATTTGATAGAGTGCCAACCTCAACATCTGAGGAAAGGGATTTAGGGGTGATTATTTCTGATGACTGAAAGGTAGGCAGACAATGTAATAGAGCAGCAGGAAATGCTAGCAGAATGCTTGGTTGTTTAGAGAGAGGTATTAGCAGTAGAAAGAGGGAAGTGCTCATGCCATTGTACAGAACACTGGTGAGACATCACTTGGAGTATTGTACGCAGTACTGGAGACTGTATCTCCAGAAGGATATTGATACTTTAGAGAGAGTTCAGAGAAGGGCTACTAAACTGGTTCATGGATTGCAGGATAAAACTTACCAGGAAAGGTTAAAGGATCTTAAGATGTACAGCTTGGAGGAAAGACGAGACGAGGGGATATGATAGAAACATTTAAATACATAAAGGGAATCAACACAGCAAAGGAGGAGACTATATTTAAAAGAAGAAAAACCACCACAACAAGAGGACGTCGTCTTAAAGGGACACTATAGTCACCTGAACAACTACAGCTTAATGTATTTGTTCAGGTGAGATCTATAGCTCCCTGCAGCAATCTAATGTAAACACTGTATTTTCAGAGAAAATACAGTGTTTACATTGATAGGAATACCTCCAGTGGCCGTCACTCAGACGGCCACCAGAGGGACTTCCTATCATGCAGGGCCCTAAAAAGGCCTTGTACACGTCAGACGTATTAAAATACGTCTGACGTGTGCAGGAGAGAGAAGGCACTGTGTGCGCGGTAGTGCACTCAGGATTTCAGAGGACGGCATGAATGCCGCCCTCTGAAGTATGTGAGCATGCGCACAAGGGAGCAATGACGCTTCCAAATGAAAGCATCGGAGTGCTCCCTGCTCGCGACCGCCTATTTTGTCGAAATAGGGGGTGCGGCTTTAAGAGGCTCCCGGCGCTGGAACCAGGTGAGTAAAATCCTCTGCCTGGAGAGTCCCTTTAAATTAGAGGGGCAAAGGTTTACAAATAATATCAGGAAGTATTACTTTAATGAGAGGGTAGTAGATGCATGGAATAGTCTTCCAGCTGAAGTGGTAGAGGTTAACACAGTAAAGGAGTATAAGCATGCGTGGGATAAGCACAAGGCTATCCTAACTATACGATAAGGCCAGGGACTAATGAAAGTATTTAGAAAATTGGGCAGAGTAGATGGGCCGAATGGTTCTTATCTGCCGTCACATTCTATGTTTCTATATTTTTATTGTGTTATCTTGCTAAGCACTTTGTATAAAATGACTGTATTTGTTAGATTGTATCTGCCTTCACATTCTATGTTTCTGTGTTTATTATTGGTAGTGATAAAGAGAGAAACATTCTGGAGACAACAGTTGTTTGACATTTTTTAAAACAATCCATTCTTATTATTCCTATTTGTAAATAATTTGATCTTCCGAAGATTACCAATAAATAAAATAAACATGCTAAATGTTTGTGTATCTGACAGGGTTATTTGCTAAGTGAGAATTTATAATAAATTTCAAATTTAACCTCAAAATAGCGGAACTGGGAAAATTTCCCTAGTCCGCTATGTGTTCAGTCCCGCTACTGTAGCCTTAAATTCTAAATTCACTTCAGTAAATCGCTGTAAGTCAAGAATCTGGCTATGAATTACTATGAATGAAATTGCAATTTTAGTATTGAAAAACATTTCATGGACTAGTCGAGAGAGATTTTATTTGAATGCTCTTATTTGATTCAAAGCATTTAAATGTCTGCAGAAAAGTAAGAAAATAGTCTAGAAGAGTTACAAATTCCATGCCAAGCACAGATTGATAAAGTATAAAAAGAAAATGCACAATTTAAAGTAATTGGAATAATGCTCAAAACACCTTGAGTGGTATCCCCTAAACCACCTCTATAAAATACACAAAATATACATGCATAAGGTGGAGCTGGTATAATGCAAATCTGTGGAAGTAAAATATAGCAATATTGTCTGTACAAATAATTATAAAGTTGCTAAAATTAGGAATATCACTCAAGTGGGGAGCCATTAGCATCATGATTGTGGGCTATTTTTGACGTTTTAGGACTATATTGTCCATACACCACTGTACCTATTTTATTTATTCATCGGATTTTATTTTACTAATAAAGCACATTTTGGAAGAAAATCTTCAGCATCCTGTGTCTAGATTGCCAGAGGTAAACACAGAGGACCATAGAGGAGTTGGACCTCCTTCAAGTGTCCTTCCACGCTTTCCATCCGAGTCATATGGTGCTAATGGCTCCCCATTTGTCAGGGATACTCCTAATTTTATCAGCTTTATAATTATTTGTACAGACTACAAAGCACAGATTGAGATGCTTACTGTATTGAATCCAGGTTTCCTTGTTTTGCAGTTCGCCTTGGTTAATGATTTTCAAGCAGCTGAATTTGTTGTTGTCTGAGATCAAACTCAATGAATCTGCATGGTGCTTGGAAGGGGTTAACACGACACAGCCCGCTTTCCTCTCTTATGATTGCATAGTGATACTTTCATATTTATATTGAATTGCTGTGTTTATTCATTATGCCACATGATTTCTTCTTCTAGTTACCAAAGTATTCATGAAGGGATATGGGGTCCACGCTCTGCATTTGCTCTCGAGGGGTTATAACCATTGAAAACAAGCGTTACATGTTCGTCCAGAAGCTGGGTGAAGGGTAAGTAGACAAAGGGTTCTTTTTCATTTATTAAGGTTTCTATACTTCATCTATGGAGTAGAACAGTCCCTAATGTTGCATAATTCTTACTGAACTGAGATGTAGGCTTAAACGAACACTATTGCATCCTACTAACTGTTTAGGTGTCAGCCACCCCTCCTGGCAGAGATCATCATGATTGGGGCTAGTGTGCACGTGCAGCTAATTGCCAACAGTTTGCTAAAGAAATGCTCTCTAGGAGAAGTATTTGATTTGAGAACCGTTCCTGACTCCGGAAGACAGCCACTAGTGGTGTGTTAACCCTCCAATGGAAACATTGATGTATCTACTAACCGGCAATGTTTTACATTGCAGAATTAAAACTAAAAGGCCTCTGCACTACGCCATGGAGTCGGCCGCCTTTAGTGGTCCTTTTTGGAATTTTTCATAGTGGAGTGTGTATGCATGTGTTTTATATGAATGACATTAATATAAGACACAATTAAAAAATATAACTTTGCAGAAACAGGGCTGCTGTCAACATTGAAATGTAAAAGTTTATTCTTTAAATACTGAATTACAATGAAACCAAATTACAAAACTCGGGCACCGAGAGCTGATTAAATCCAAACTCTGCTGTTTTTGCTAAATTCTGAAATTCACTTTGGAGTTCACTACAATGCAGTATTTAGTGAATACACCCCATTCATGTAATGGCAAAGCCGGCTTCGTGTATCTACAACTTGATCTGCAGAGTATCTCCCCAATCTGTCCCTCCACTTGCAGGTTATGTTCTTGTTTTTTACTTCTAGATCCCCCTTTTTGCATTTCTCATATTTCTCACGCTGGCTGTGGAATATGGAAGTTGTCAAAAAGCCGATAGTCGGTGATTTGTCTGAAATTTATTCCGGGTGGCTAAGCATGTTGAGTGTTGCAGCCCAATGGGAGTGAGCCCTCATACTAACCTATTTCATGGTAATTCCATGAATAATGGCAGCACTTTTAGCTTTTGTAAATGAAATAAAGTGTTAAAAACGTTTTGCAATTTCTTTCCTGACGTATAGTGTCCATACAGAAGGGATGCTCTTCCTACAGGTGGACATGTACCTTCTGTAGTTAAATATGTAAATTAATAGTGAAAACCCACCCCCTCATACCTTAAATAAGCACATTTAAATGGCAATGTTTACATTGGTTGAGAATACGTCCTTGGTTGACAAACCCCAGAGGCTATTCCTTCTTAAGTCCTTTGATTTTCGAAGTTCTTCACAATTGACATCATCACACAGAGCATGATGACTGCAGATGCAGCCAATACTAACCATAAAGAAGCATTCATTTCACTGCATACACACGGGATTCTGTGTTTCTCTTTGAGAAGCACTGGATTTGCAGAGTGCAGCAATTGCCACATGTGCACAGTTGGCCTGCATTGCTTCTCAATCAGTGATCATCATACTTGGAGGAGTGGCTGCACACTGGATTGTGTCCTGGAGATGGAATATAGGTATGTTTTGGTTTAAACAAAAGGGGCCTTGAATATAAAGATAGTAGAGAAGGCATCTAACTTTAATCATATTATATTTATTTTATAAAATGTTTTGAATAATATATTTGTTTCTAAAGTTAGTGTTCCTTTAAAGGGATACTGTAGTGCTTGGAATACAAAGTTGCATTCCTAGCACTGTAGTTCCCCCGCGTCCTTCCCCTCCCATGGCATGGTAATGGTTAAAATACCTTGACGCTGGTTCAGGCGCATGAGTGCATTAGGCGCTCCCCATTGGAAAGTACTACTGCAATGCTTTCCTATCATGTTTTGCATGACGCTGGGCGTCCTCATGCAGACATCCAACATCAGTTAGGCGACCATATGTTGCCTAACCACCAGGATTTTCCTCTATTGACTGTCTGATTGACAGCCAGTAGAGGCAGTCTTATCCATGCAGAAACTGCAATAATTATCATTGCAGGGTTAAGGGTACAAGGAAATTGCACCAAGACCACTTCAATAAGCTGAAGTGGTCTGGGTGCCTATAGTGTCTCTTGCAGAGCGTGTCTATATTGAGCAGTATTACATTTCCGTAGAGTCAAAGGGATATGCATCATAACAGAGAAAATAGTCCCATGGGGATACAGGCATAGGTTAGCAATTTTGATATATTGATGGATTCTAGTAAGGAATGGATAATACGATAGACGATCAACTAGGGGACATGCTTTATTTAACCAGGAATGATACATTTAGCTTTCAGTCATTTCCAAGTACTTCCTTTCAGATGTTTTTTTACCTGATTTTATTGACAAGAGAATGAAAGATTGACCTGTTAATATAGGGGTAATTTTCATTTAGTCATCTAATAAAAAGTAAAGTTATTTCATTTAACATTAAATTGTCAGGAATTCTCCAGGGAATTTCAAACTTTCTATGAACAAGTTATTCACCAACGTGAATTTTAAATCCAGTGCAGCTGGACTGGAAGCAATAGCTGATTTAGAGCATTTTTCCAGTTCTGCTCATGTTATGTTGTGTTTTAAATTCACTTTAGTGAATAACCTGCAAGATAAACAAATTGGACGCATTCTCTAGCACAGCTTGCGGATCAGCTGCTTTATTCTGGAATTCTTTATTCCCTTGTCAATTTCCCACAATTCCCAGTTTAGTGAGTAACCATGGAAAAGCCACTGTATAGCTGCTGCTATAGGTCTAATTTTATTGGATACTTTTCTTCACTGTATATTTGTTGGTACTGACTGACCCCATGTTTGATATTGGTGGTTGTTTTACGCAATGTAAATGTAATAAATTGTGTTTCCAAGTTTGCTGTAATTAACATAATGTTTGGATGTTTGTACCTGGAAATCACACGTGAAAATGTATTGCATTTACAGATTTGTTCTTCATTCTGCTCTGCATGATTGTATAGGTTTTTGCTTTGTACAGTACTGTTTGTATCTCACTGTTTGGAGACTAATCATAGGCTTTCTCCATCCCTTTAAAACACACAGTGGCTTCAGTTATGTGGATCTGGTGGAGGGTGTACATGATGGGCGCTTTTATGCCCTGAAACGGATATTATGCCATGACCGGGAAGATCGGAAGGAAGCTGTACATGAAGTGGAGATGCACAGGCTGTTCAATCACCCGAACATCTTGCGGCTTGAAGGACAATGCATAATAGAAAAGGGATCCAAATGGGAGGCTTGGCTGCTCCTTCCATATGTAGCGGTAACTTGCTGAGTGGGGGCACTGTGGGCTTGAGAAGGAGAGTCTTGTCAGATGAAGGATTTGTAATTATAAACCACATTTCAGCTTGTGGCCATTACTGACAACAAACTGAAATGGTCGTGGCTATAAATCACTGTTCTGGGAGTCCTGTACCTTGCTAGCCAGATATTTCTTGGCTCTTCAGCTTCCAGAAAGAAAAGTGAAAAGCTATTCATTCCTCCACCCCCTGAAGGGTTGGCAGGGTGAGAGAGCAAGGCTTTAAATCTGCGTGATTTGTAGGGGACTCTGATTGATCAGAGAAATGGGGATGTTGCTATCTATTTTTATATGGCACTAACGTTCTCCTGTACAGTTATACAGTGAAGATATTTAACAATTTATTACACAATAAGTAACTGACTGGAAGCGTGCCAATTACATTCTAAATAAAACGTTGTTTAGTTTGTTTCCTTTTTACGTTAAACATAGAATTACAGGGAATTGAAAACTGAATTCTAACATTTAGGCTAAGCTTCTGAAATGGGACTCCGCTATGGTCACCGCTTGGCTGTTTAAGATATATTTTACAATTTGATTTTCTACTTACTACCATCCAGTGTTTAGTGTATAAATCCCTATGTCTTTGCATTTGTTCGTTATATGTTTAGCACAGGATGTTAAGAACTTTCATACAATTTTAAATTGGGACTGTGTCTTACTTTGCTTTAAAAAAAAAAAAAAGGAATACAGGCAAAGGACTTGCTGCCAAATCATTTCAACTTCCTTCTGCTTTTGTGCTGTGTTTGTGGAGCCAGTAACAGAAAACTGACTAGTGGCCTAATCCCCTCCGTTAATGGAATCAAATATAGAACGTGTACTTAGCAGATAGCATCACGCTCCAGTTTTTTTCCCACAGATGCTGATTGGAGTTGTGCCATCATTATGTACTTTGTTTACGTAGCATTTACTAACCCGGACACTTCTTTTTAAACTTAAAAAAAAAAAAAAAAAAAAAATGTTGACAGAATTGTGTACAGAGAGCAGGAACATTCAGGGCATTTCAAGAAGCGGTTAAATCCTGCAGCCATCATTAATGCAATCTGTGCTCTTCAACTGTGTCGCTTCTGGTTAGTGAGTTCTGTGTGTTCTGTTTTCAGAAAGGAACCCTGTGGAGTGAGGTAGAAAGTCTACGGGATAAAAATTGTGCCCTTTCTGAAGATCGAGTTCTCCACATCCTTCGTGGAATATCTCTGGGATTGAAAGCCATACATGACAGAGGCTATGCACACAGGTACATCGGTGTAATTCAAAGCACTATAAAATAACTTGACAAAGAATAGCTGTCAAAGTAAAATGATCGTTGAAATCACAATGGATGGCTATCTCTTTAATTATGATTGGTCTTTTATTTTGTAATCTGCTTTGTGCAAAGAATTCACTGCATTTATATATATATATATATATATACAGTGTATATAGCCTTTTTCTCTCCTGGTTTGGAAGATTACCCTACTTACTTACTTACCTCTATCTTCTGTCCGTACTCCCACCTCTGATGCTCGCCTTTAAGATTTCTCGAGGGCTGCACTTCAAAATATATATATATATATATATATATATATATATATATAGTGTATATAGCCCTTTTCTCTCCTGGTTTTGAAGATTAACCTACTTACTTACTTACGTCTATCTTTTGTCCGTACTCCCACCTCTGATGCTCTTCAAGATTTCTCGAGGGCTGCACCGTTCCTGTGGAACTCCCTTCCCTCCTCTGTTAGATGCTCACCCAGTCTTCAATCCTTCAAAAAATCGTTAAAAAAACACACTTCTTCATAAAAGCGTATCAATTAAACTGTACAATCCTGACTGATTCCTCTTCTGCAACTGTCACTAGTCTAATACTATCCTTACCTTTTTGTGTCATTTTACCCCACTCCCTCTAGCATGTAAGCTCATTGAGCAGGGCCCTCAACCCCTCTGTTCCTGTGTGTCCAACTTGTCTGGTTACAACTACATGTCTGTTCGTCCACCCATTGTAAAGCGCTGCGGAATTTGATGGCGTTATATAAATAACATAATAATAATTACTCAGTGTGAGACGCCACATGTACCCCATGCAGAAAACAACACAAATCCTAACTAGTATATCTGAAGATATTATTATTATCCACACATATTATTGGAAATGATGCAGGGTCAGCAACAGTATGAATGTCAGGATTACATTACCGAATACCCTTGATGACTGATTTTCATTTAAACAAGATAAACAAAGAGAAAGTACTAAACAAAGCATCATTCATTATATATCTGAAAGTGGGACTCCCATCAGAGAGATGCCAGTGAAACTGTTGTGAAATGAATACAAACAAGCAGTAACCATATGCCAGTTCAGGGTGGAAAACACAAGTAGGTTGAACAAGTTCGATCTCTTGGTAAAATATAGGGATATTGTCCCCACGCTAGAGGACGAGGTAGCATCCCCATAGAGACCTGTGTTTGAATGCTCCACCCTTCCCTACCATTATAGTCTGATTGGGAGCTGCCTGCAAAGTATTCTCATGGAATACCTGCTAATGCATTTAAATGTATTTTGAATAAGTGCTGTATGGACAATATCTAAGGTTAGTATGTAGAGTTCCCAGATCTTTAAAAAAAAAAACAAAAAATAGAGAGACCGTTCTTTCTGTATGTTGGGAGGCTTTGATCCAGTGCATTCTAAACACATTAGACAGCTTGGTTTGGCACAAAGCCAGGGTCGGCTTGTCAACTGAGATCCATGCATGCACAATGCTTTTCCTTGCCACAGTCAGCACCATCTAAATATACCTGGTGTGTCTTGGAATGCTGTGAGAGAAGATTCGAAAGATGGACAGCTAAGAGGACTATGGCACCGAAAAGTGCAGGGTGTTCTTCCAACAAAACTCCCTGATCCGTGGACAAACCCAAAAATAGTGCAGTAAGTCATCTCCCCCCTCCCCGCACTTCAAGCAATTTGAGGAGATTGAACACCTCATTCTGTATTATTAATTTATTATATAGCGCCAGCAAATTCCGTAGCGCTATACAATAGGATTGTATTGAGCATCAGGTGCTAGGTAGCAATACAATGCTGTCCACTGAAACATCTCTTGGTAGAGAAGGACTGGAAGAAGTTTAGTTTTTTCATAGTTAAAGCGGCACTGTCATGCCGAACTTACCTTTCCTCAATCTCTTCCTCTTCTCCCCCTCTCTCAGGATCTGTTATTCTTTTCTTCCTGTCTTCTTTAGTTTTCTTTAAAATCATAAGACAAAGAAGGGACTCTTTGCCTTATGGAGGATTCCTCCGCTTGACCAGCTGTGACCAGCGGAGGAGCAAAGTGTGCTTCATTTCCGCTGGTCAGAGCAATTTTCCCATGATCCTTACCTTTCCTCTGTGTTCCCACAATGCTTCCTGTCACTTTACACAAAACTGCCGAATTGCGTTCTAACTGAATGAGAACAGTATGTTCGTTTCTTTTAGAACGCAATTCGGCACTTTATTCGGATCGGAATTTCATTCTAATGAATGAAACTCTGATCCTATTCATTGCCGCGGCTGCATCTTGCAGCCGCTTAGTAGATAACTCCCTAATTCCCACGGTATCAGGGAGCTCTCTACTAAAAGGCTGAAAGACCTAAATTGGTCTTTCAGCCACATTTACTAATACTGAGTAAAGATTACTTAGTATTAGTAAATTAAATGCCCCTTCTCGCTATACCGCGAGTAGGGGCATGTGTAGTAAGCAGTGAGCAGCTTATATCTGCTCACTGTAAAAAAAAAACAAAAAAAAAACTAATAAACCCCCTCCCATGCCCGTGGGGGCCCTAAATAAAGATGGGGGGGAACCTACTGGCCCCCACCCCTGAGCGGTGGGTGGGGGCCCTAAATAAAGATATGGGGGGGGAACTTCTGTCCCCTCCCCGGCCCCACCCCTGCGCGGTGGGTGGGGGCCCTAATAAAACAATAAGGGGGGGGGACCTACTGTCCTCCCCCCCGGCCCCCACCCCTGCGCGGTGGGTGGGGCCAGTAAACAATAAGGGGGGACCTACTGTCACCCCCCCTGCGGTGGGTGGGGCCCCCACCCTGCGGTGGGTGGGGCCATCTCTAATAAGGGGGGACATGTCCTCCCCCTGGCCCCCCACCAGCTCAGGGGTGGGGCCCTAATAAAACTAATAAGGGGGACCTACTGTCCTCCCCCCCCGGCCCCCACCCCTGCGCGGTGGGTGGGGGCCCTAATAAAACAATAAGGGGGTGGGACCTACTGTCCTCCACCTCCCCCCCGGCCCCCACCCCTGAGCGGTGGGTGGGGGCCCCTGTAAAACAATAAGGTGGGGGACCTACTGTCCTCCCCCCCTGGCCCCCACCCCTGCGCGGTGGGTGGGGGCCCCAGTAAAACAATAAGGGGGGGGGACCTACTGTCCTCCCCCCCCTGGCCCCCACCCCTGCGCGGTGGGTGGGGGCCCCAGTAAAACAATAAGGGGGGACCTAATGTATTGAGCATCAGGTGCTAGGTAGCAATACAATGCTGTCCACTGAAACATCTCTTGGTAGAGAAGGACTGGAAGAAGTTTAGTTTTTTCATAGTTAAAGCGGCACTGTCATGCCGAACTTACCTTTCCTCAATCTCTTCCTCTTCTCCCCCTCTCTCAGGATCTGTTATTCTTTTCTTCCTGTCTTCTTTAGTTTTCTTTAAAATCATAAGACAAAGAAGGGACTCTTTGCCTTATGGAGGATTCCTCCGCTTGACCAGCTCTGACCAGCGGAGGAGCAAAGTGTGCTTCATTTCCGCTGGTCAGAGCAATTTCCCATGATCCTTACCTTTCCTCTGTGTTCCCACAATGCTTAAAACAATAGGGGGGACCTACTGTCCTCCCCCCCCCCCCACCCTGAGCGGTGGGTGGGGGCCCTAGTAAAACAATGGGGGGGGACCTACTGTCCTCCCCTCCCCCTTCCTGGCGGTGGGTGGGGGGGGCCCCAGTAAGGCTAATAGGGGGGGGACCTACTGTCCTCCCCCCCGGCCCCCACCCCTTGCGGTGGGTGGGGGCCCTAATAAAACAATAAGGGGGGGGACCTACTGTCCTCCCCGACCCCTGCGGTGGGTGGGGCTAATAAAACAATAAGGGGGGACCTACTGTCCTCCCCCCCTGGCCCCCACCCTGAGGCGGTGGGTGGGGGCCCTAATAAAACAATAAGGGGGGGGGACCTACTGTCCTCCCCCCCCTGGCCCCCACCCCTGAGCGGTGGGTGGGGGCCCTAAATGAAACACCCCCCCCCAATCAAGGTGACTAGGGGTCCCAAAAAAGTCTATCCCCTACCTACCCCCCTCACCCTACAAATAGTGAGGGGGGAATAAAATAACTAACCTGTAAAAAAAAAACATTAAACTTACCATTTGACGTCTTCTTTTTTCTAAAATCTTCTTTCTTCAGCCCCCCAAAAGGCCAAATAAAAATCCATTACACCCGTCGCACTTTAAAAAAAAAAAAAAAAAAACGAGCGCAAAAAAAAAAATTAATCCATGTTCGCCCTTCGAGGGCACGCCGCATACTGAGCTCCGCAGGGCGGGTCAAGGCTTATAAAGCTTTGCCCCGCCCTGCAATTAGGATTAGAACACTCTGATTGGTGGGTTTAAGCCAATCAGAGTGCTCTGAGTCATTTTACACAGCGTGGGGAAATTCATCTGATGAATGAGTGAATAGATGAAATTCCCGTTCGCATGTCCAGGTGTTTCACTGGGCATGTGCGGGAATCTCACAGTCTGCCTAGTGTGGGCTGATGACGTGTCCCACAGGGACTTCACCTACCCACACAAAGATGGCGGCGCCCTGAATCAAGATCGGGGCAGAAAATAAGGATTAAAAAATAGGTAATGTGGGGGGCTTAGGGGCATTTGGGGGTGACTAGTGGGTCAATTGGATGTAGTGGAGGCGGGAGGGGGGTTAAAAAAAAAAAACGGGATTCGGCATGACAGTGCCGCTTTAAGATAATGGATAGTCTAATGGATACAGCTGTCTAAGAGAGAATGATCTAATATCGTGAGAATACTATTACCATAAGGTAAACTATAGTTGAGTATTCATCTTGAGGTGGACGCCAAAGCATGGCGTCAGTGGAGTGAGCCCAGTCGTTGTCCGTAAAGTGTGCTAGAGACAAGGCGATATAACTTCGAATTTGTAGATATTCAAACAGAGGTATGTGGAGTGATGGAAATTTGTCCATTGGGGGGGTCGGGGGGGGGGGGCAGTGCAGGTACTGAGTTCTCTGGACAAAATCATGTAACAGGGTCTGTTTGCTTCTGTGTTCCTGTTGATCACGTGTTGTAACCACACTGTCCTTTCTGGGACTAGAGCTTGCTTGGTATATTAAAGTGATCTCTCCTTTGAATGAACAGTCTTGCTATTCAGGGTCAAAGAATTTTCCATTTTCTGCACTAAAACAGAAGATGGCTTTAATACAATAATCCAGAGTGCATGAATGCTTTCAGATTATAGTATGTACCTGAAACGTAGTTGTGTTTAACATAATCATTTATGAGCAGTATTTATGCCACATGGTTTGTTTAAGATCATGCTTAAAATAAATAACTACTCCACCTAGATTGAACAGCCAGTGAGTTCTGGTGTTGCATTACATTAAATGTAGCGTTAACCAATGTCTTATGTGTCAAGGTTGGAGTGAGTGTTAAACTTCATTATTTGCCTCAGTGATGTATTTACTGTATTGTCACCTATTAGGGACCTGAAACCGACAAACGTGCTGTTAGAGGATGATGACCGGCCACTTATAATGGACCTGGGCTCTATGAACCATGCTCGCATTGAGGTGACAAGTTCCCGACAGGCAATGTCCGTGCAGGTATGGGGCAGTTTATCACACATACTGTGTCCCAGAAATCAATGCTCGGGATGCAGATAAACTTTCCTATCTCCCCATTACGAAGAACGCATGTTTGCAACAAATGCTCTTTTATTTTAAAACATTTTATTGATTTGTGTTAATTTTTATTTAGGTTAGGTATAGATCCACGTAAATATTCTATAAATAGACATCCACTTCCAGTGGCTGCTTTTCCTAATCTAACATTACAAACAATTTTTAAGCGATTCTGAGATTGTTGAGTCGGAAATAAGCACTATATGGGTCAAATCCCTAACTTTCAATTCAGCAACAGATCCTGCCATACTGCGCTTTACACAGTCCCAACCTTTGGTCGTAGTTAAGTGTCAGGTTGAGCGTGATTATACATTGTACATTTAAACCTGGTCATAATAGAAGGAGCAGGTCAGAAACCATCTGTTAGTTCTTTCTCCCAGACCCTTAGTTCAGCTCTGCTTTATGTGTAACCCTGAACACCAGCACCATCTGCATGTAACAGCCTGTAACTGATATGTATGTCTCACACCTTCCTTAACATAGGACTGGGCCGCACAGCGTTGCACCATTTCCTACCGCGCACCAGAATTATTCAGCGTTGAGAGCAACTGTGTGATTGACGAGAGAACGGACATCTGGGTAAGGATGGTTCAAAGTCCTGCCCTATGTGACCCTTACCAAACACTGATTGCACAGCATGTATACCCCTAGATATTGATTCTTCCTTGGAGAAATGTGACTATTACTAGAGAATAAGGATGCTGCGGGATATTTTAATAGACAGTTTATATACTGTATGGATGGACAGATTGGTAACCTCCAGATTTCATGTCGGGTCAGCAAGATCATAGACTGCAAGGAGATCTGTAGGACTGGTATTGAGTTGAGGGTTGATTCCTTGTTCTGTATTTGATGTACAGAATACATATTCCTCCCAAGGGTAAGAATTCTGCAGTCTTTCAGAGGTGGATGGTGTACGATTCCCATGATCCTTATGAGCATAATATCAGGAAATGTTTAGATTATCAACATCTAGAGTGACTGTTTGCCTTTCTGTAATCTAGCAAAGCAGTGAGAGTTCTCGTATAAAGGTTATTGTTAATAAGGTTATAGCTCATATACACATATATATGTATGAAAAGCAATTCAGCAGTTAACCTCACATCGGAATGAACTATTGGTACTTTTCCCCAGAATGGTACATTGTAAAGGCTGGTAATAATCAGTTGGCACATCTAGTCTTGTATATCTAAAAAAATCAAGGCAACATGTGCTGATTTTATTTGCTGTGGAATTTGTTGTTTTTTTATAAATACCAGTAAAAATACCAGTAAAAATAATAACCATTTGCTGATTACAGCATTGTGCCTGTTTTATATAATTTCTGCATAATTGTAAACCTCTGCTGAATATATAGGCTCTGTATAAATTCTAATAATAATAATAATGTTTAAAAATGTATTTCCTGGTTTTTCTGCTCACTATCCCTCTTCATAGAGGGTTTTAGCAATGTAACTAGTTAGCAGGTCTTCTAATAACGTCATTTCCCCCCCTTAGTCTCTGGGCTGTGTCCTGTATTGCATGATGTTTGGAGAAGGGCCATTCGACATGATTTTTCAGAAAGGCGACAGTGTGGCATTAGCGGTTCAAAACAACGTCACAATACGTACAAGTAACAGGTCAGATAATCAGCTGCAAACTCAATCTATGCTGACAGTCATCGTGGGGAGAGGAGACATGATTGCAGTGTACAATGGTCCCTTTGGCAACACAGGGTTTAATTTTTAGTGATAAAAGGAGTTTTGTCTTGAAACTGCTATCTTGAGCACTAATGGGCAGAATGTATTAAAGTTTACAACCTAAAATCAGAATGTCAACTATCAGTTGTGCCAATTGTTTTTATCGAGAGGGAGAATGTTTCTTTTTTTTTTTTCTCCAATCTATACTCTGTACCCTCTCTACCCTTTCTCCTCAATTCTCTTTTCTATTGCAAACATAGATCGAATAATTTAAAGGGAAGTACATTGTGGATTTAGCCAGCCCACACATTATGGCCAGGCTGCACTTTGATGTTACTCTGTCATCTCAAACTTACCTTTCTACTATTGTTTTCTCTTCTCTTCCTCTTTAAATATCTGTTATTTTCTTGATTTTTGTTCTAGATAAATAAGACTTTTGATAGAGTAATTGAAGTTTGCCTTAAAGGGACACTATAGTCACCCAAACTAAGCTGTTTTAGTGTATAGATCATGCTTCCAAAGTCACACCGCTCAATTAACTACCATCTAAGCGTTAAATCGCTTTGTTTATGCAGCCCTAGCCACACCTCCCTGCATGTGACTTGCACAGCCTTACTAAACACTTCCTGCCTTAGAACCTACAGCTTGTACTGAGACTGAGTCTCTCTTAAAAACATATATGTTGATAACTGTGTCTAAAAAGCTGCCTTGTGATGCTCATGATTTAGAATATCCCTCTTTTTGGTCAACCTCCTTGGTGCCTCCACCAGCCTAGGTTAGATTTTATAATATTAGACCTGAGAACTCTATATATTCGTCTTGAGTCTTACAGTAAAATTGCTTATTGCCAAGCCTCTGGGTCATTGCTCTATACCAGCATTTCCCAATTGGAACACAAATGGGGTTACACCAAACTTGCTAAAAACAAAATGGCCACGGGCTGCGAGGGAGCAGTGGGCAGTGATCTCGCTGCTCAGCTCCCTCGCGTGCACAGGAGTGATGCCGGAGCCGGAATATAATGTCACTCTGGCTCCGGCATCACTAAGAGGCGCGCGAGGGAGATCACTGCTTGCCGCCTGCACGCTGCCGCTCAGCAGCTCCCCTGGACCCCAGGGACTGCACACCAGCCGCTCAGCAGCCCCACTGGACCCCAGGGACCTCACGCCCAGCAGCCACACTGGACCACAGGGACATAGAGACTCCATGCCAGCACTCCCAAAGGTAGGGAGGCTAGGTGGAGTAAAACATTTTTTTTAATTATAAATTGTATATGTGTCTGTTTGGGAGTTTGTATGTGTTTGTGTGTCTGTCAATAAGTATATGTGTGTTTGTCAGTGAGAGTGTATATGTGTTAGTCTGTAAAAGAGCATGTGTGTCTGTCAAAGAGTATGTGTGTTTGTCAGTGAGAGTGTATGTGTGTCTGAGTGTGCGCATCTGTGTGTCAAGGTTTGTGTATGTTTGTATCTGAGTGTGTGTTTGTGTGTATATCTCAGTGTGTCAGTATGTGTATATGACACTGTGTGTATCAGAGTGTGTGCGTATGTGCCAGCGCGTTTATCTGTGAGTGCAAGTGTGTGTATATGTCACTCTGTGTATCTGAGTGTGTGTGTGTGTAATTGTGAGTCAAGATGGGTGTATGTGTCACTATGTGCATCTGAGTGTGTGTGTGTCAGTGTGTGTATCTGTGCCAATGTGTGTGTATCTGTGTGTTAGATACACACTGACACAGAGATACAAACACTGGCACATACAAACACAGATATACACTGTGTGTCAGTGTGTGTGTGCCACTATGTGCCAGTGTGTGTGCTTCTGTCTGTGTCTCAGATACATACACACACTGGCACATACAAACACAGACACAAACACCCTGACACAAATGAATTGGGAACCCCCTGCTCTATATTAGGGATAGTGGTAAGTGGTGATTAATATCATATATTCCCAGCCCATCTCCTCCTGTGGCACTTCTTCTATTATAGATAAATATGTAAAGAACGTTCTAGTATCGCGTGCAGATTAATTTATATCCTTTGCTTGCAGGTATTCACAAGCACTGGAATCCCTACTGTCCTCCATGCTGGTGGTGAATCATCAGGAAAGGCCGTACATCTCTACTATACTAGCCCAGATAGAGACACTGGTTCCTGCTGTAGATGGACAGGCCACAACTAGGATATGATGCCACCGGATATAGGACCAAATCCATGTTCCTCCTGTGAATTGTTAATCTTCCATCCATGGGACCATTGGACTCATCAAATGTCAATACAAGGAGACTGCGTCAATCCACAGTGAAAGCAAACCTCTTGTATATCGTTTGATTTAAAAGATTTTTATTATTTTAACACATTAGTTTTGTTTTCAAGTACTAAACCCACTAGAGACATAGACATCTTCTCTGGGTTAAGTTTGCTGGACAATATTTTATCTTTTTTTTTTTTTTCTTCCTTGGAATTTTAAACTCACGAAATAAGCGCAAATATCCTGAGGATCACCCTCGTTTGGTGCTCCATCTGTGTCCCCATAGGCTGCTATTCTCAGGCCAATACCCACTGTACCCGGTCTTTGGGGCTGTTAAATAATTTGTGTTTGGCTGAGTGTGTGCTTTTACATTTCTTAAAATTACCTTCAAAGGGAGCTTGCAACTTGTGTGTCCATTTTAAATTGTATGTGTCATTTTTTTTTTAAATGAAAAATATGTTACAGAAATGAGTACTGTACTAATGATGCACTTTTTACACACAGTAAACGGTGTCTAGTCATGGGGTGTGATTTTTATCCACTAATGATCCGTTTGGCATTCAAGCGTCACTTATACAGTGAGTCAGTTTATAAGAGGGTGAGCACGCAAGTTTACAGGAAAACATTCTGCTTTGTTTACACCCAGCTGCAGATTTAATTAGGTTAATATTATGAGCGGACTCTGAGTTAATAAAATACAGGTTCCACAAGCAAGATATTCCCTGCATGGTAACTTGGTTTTAAAAGGAACACTGCAGACACTGTAACTGTCATAACATTGAAGTGGTTGTAGTGTCTGCAGTCCCTTGGCGCTGTCCTACTATTCAGTTGTACTCTGCTGGATTTACATGGGGATTCCATGCTCAGTGCGGCTGGGTAGTGATGCTTGTAGCCCTGTCCCTAGCTATTCCCACTATCATGCAATCCCTAACCTAGAGCCAGCATGGGCCGAGGGATCACGCCCTCTCTCCATTAAAGAGACAGAGACACTTTCTGTATTGAGTAGGGGTTTGTGTTCCGGCTCTATGGCAATAGTTCACAACAGCAGAGTGGCTACAGAGCAGCCCTGGCACAGGGTCTGTGTGATGTGCTAGCTGAGCATGAGATGAGGGCTAGGTTGGGTATAGGTGATGACTGGGTGAGTCTCAGGGTGGGCATGGGATGAGTGTAGGAGGTGAGCACGGCTGAGTATGGAATAAGGGCTAGGATTAGCATGGGGTGAGGGCAGAGTTGAGCAGGGGTGAGCATGGAATGAGGTTGCATGGGGAGAGCATGGGGTGAAGGATGAGGTAAGCATGTAGTGAGGGCACAGTCTGATGTGGTGAATCTCTGGCTGCCCTGATGATGATATGCCCAGAGAGGGTGTGCGTCTCTAGAACAGGGGCTCTGCAAATGGAGTTTCCGAGGTACGTCTGATGTGACAGGCTCTGCGCAGCGACATGTAAGCAGCACTTGTATTTTTTTGTCACTGCAAACTATGAGCCATGGTTATTATACTCATTATATAGCATAAGGTTTGGCCTCGATAAATATATTATTGCAGATAACATGAAATGATCCAGTACTTGATTAAATTGCAGTCTCAGTTTCTGTAAACAAACTGCAAGTGCAAAATTCTAAAAATAAATACATCGCAGAATCAAGTATAAAACAATAAACCAAAAACAATCTTTTTAAAGAGCCAGTCTATATTTTCATTGTTTTAATCTGATTGTTTTATACTTTGTTATATCATTTTTGGAGGGGTGAGAGGTGTGGATCTTGGGTGAGTTCCCACACTTTTTACTCCAGGACTTGACCCCTGTTCCTAACCCAAAAGTGTTCTTTTAACCTGAGCTGCAATGGGCACTGTGATTGGCTGAAAGTGTCAGCTTCCTGCTTTCAGCTTATCACAGCACCCATTGCTGGTATGAATTGGTATTGCTAGAAGGAAGTGTGTATTCTCTGACTTAGCCATACTGCCAGTAGGGGTCAAGCTGTGGGTCAGCAGGGACTCTTATGCAGTGTTAAACTGCTCGAAAATGGTTTAACACTTAGTAGAAAGCCTGTGCCATGGAACTCTAGGCATTATAACTAATGCAATGAGGTGAAATGGTTACAGTGCTTGTTTCATCTAAACAAAAGGGGCACGTTAACTGGTATGTTCCACATTTGCAGCAAATTCTAGACGTCCGTCCTCTTCCCCGGCTACATTGTACCAGGATTTGGCAGAGATCTTTGTTTATATGTGTCCTCGTTTCTGTTGTAGAGGTAGATCTTTTTCCTCATCCCTTAGCCATTCAATGCATTTGCTAAAGATTTAAAACAGCACGTATATACTCGCAGTGCTCTCATTCAAAGAAAGGGGGATAAAAAAATCACTAGAGTCTTCCACTAACTTTCAAAGTAATGTTTTATATATTTTATTTGCAATAAACCTTTGTGTTGAGCCCTATTCTGTGTGTTGTATGTACAACCCACGCCGGTTTATAGGAGCCATATATCTGACATAAGATTTATGTAAGAGTCGTCCAAATCTGTTTATTTGTGGGGATATTTTTACCATTTTCTTATTATGCATGTGGCAAAAAAAAAACAAAATAAATCTGGTTAATGTATAAATAAATATCGTTCCTGCATGATGCTCTGTCAGATACACCGTTAGACATCTGTATTATCCCTTTTTAGCTGCAATTCTGGGTGTAAACCATCGGATACCAAACATTGTGTAATAAATTCTTATTGTACACTCGAAACACTTAGAAATGTTCTTGTAAGGTTTCATTTTGCCAGATAAGCTTTAGAAACAACTCTGCGCAGAGTGTGTCCCTTCCTAAATCAGCTCCCTGGGACATTTTAATAAATGCCCTCTAAGTAGTTGGCAGAGCACCACAAATTTACAGAGCACAATACAAATATTTCATTCTGTTTGTAGCAGTCCTATGCTGCCAGAGTAAAACCAATTATGTAATTTCATCAAGAGGAAGTGATTCCCATTGTACAGCATTGAGGACAGAGGTGGCACTTAAAGAATAATTACCCTACAAAAACAGGACAGTCTAGCCAACCCTCTGCTAAATACGCAGAAATCCCAATACACCGCAGGAGAAAATGTTTGGTTCACAAGGGGATGTGGTTTCTGGGTTTTTAACACTTATTTAGACTGATTGGCAAAACCTTTCAAAATTGTTCCTTTGCCCTGCAGCATAAATACAGTTTAAACAGTTTGCTACTACAAATAGAACCCCACCATGTGTGACAGTAGCTTTCACCTCCTCAGGAGCGAGCAGCTGTTGTAAAGTTAAATATAAATATCTAGAAGGCATCTCACTTCTCAGATAACAGAACGACGATCAGACATTGCCGATAGAGCATTCTGGGTAATTTGCCAAGACACCTACACATTCAGGTGCATTACATCCTGTTATTGCAGAAGAGGCTGCTCCTTTTATGTTTCGCAAACAGAACTTTTCAAATTCGATTCATAACCCACCTTGGAGCATTTACCCACACAGCGCTGAGTGGGCTTTAGTGAATTTCAATTTATAATCAAAATAGCCAAATTGATTAAGTGAACACAAATCTGTATTTCTGACCCTATATTGTTAAAAGCACCGTTTAGAGGTCTTGCCACCCTTAAAAGCTAAGAAAACGTACCTTATTTCCAGCAGGTTTGCGGACACAGTCCCCGTCCTGATCCGCCATCTTGGCTGACAATTTATAATCGCACCCGATCCAATGGGTACCGATAGGATAAGCATTGGCTTGGCTGAAAATCTGGGAGGTGAGTTAGTGACAAACGCTGACTTGGCCAATCAGCTGACTCAATGCGGCTCCACGCAGAACCAGTGCTGCATTGCCACAGGAAGCACCTCCAGTGGCCATCTGAGGAGTGACCACTGGAGGTGGCCTTAGGGAACAATGTAAATACTGCCTTTTCTATGAAAAGGTAGTTTTAACAGCAAAAATGTGCATGTATGGTGAATGTATTAGGCCGTCCACAAAGGAAAGCAGTGCTTTGTGTTCTGATTGGGATTTTACAGACAGTGGAGGTTATCTCGCAGAGCGTGAGGAATTCCAGCATCAGTTAGGTGACCAACAGTCCACTAACAAACAGAAAGTGCCTCTAGCGGCTGTCTTCGTACAGCAATAGTTTCTCTAACACTGCAGACCTAAGGGCAGCAGGGACAGTGTATCCAGACCACTTCAATAAACTCAATGGTCTGTGTGACTATAGTGTCCCTTTAGAGGGCCACTATAGGCACCCAGAACACTTCAGCTTAATGAAGTGGTCTGGGTGCCTGGTCCAGCTAGGTTTAACCTTTTTTTTTTCTATAAAACAGCAGTTTCACAGAAACTGCTATGTTTATAATAGGGTTAATCCAGCCTCTAGTGGCTGTCTCGCTAGAGGGCTTCCGCGCTTCTTACTGATTTTCACAGTGAGAAGACGCCAGCATCCACAGGAAAGCATTGAGAATGCTTTCATATGGACTGGCTGAATGTGCACGGCTCTTGCCGCACATGCAGCCGTGGAGGAGAGTCCCCCGCCCGGTGCTAGAGAAAGAGGTAAGTTTAACCCCTTCCTCCCCCTAGAGCCCTGAGGGTTAGAGCACCCTCAGGGAACTATAGTGCCAGGAAGACAAGTAGGTTTTCCAGGCACTATAGTGGTCCTTTAAGGACAGGCACAATTAAACCAACCAGGACAAAAATAATTACCAATTTCTCGTCTTACAACTGGTCAATGGCAGAAAACTGCAATATTTGAGGGTGACTGAAAGGGTGCCAAGATGTGGTAGCCCAAGTTCCAGGACAGAAGTATGGATTTCTACATCTTTAAATGTTTAGACTTCATAGAAGTATATTTACTAAATATAGAAGATCAGTGAAAATAAATCCTGAGAAGTGACTGTTCCCCATTAAATCTGCTTACAATCATATCCAGCAGTAAAAGCTTTGTTTCTGAAAGCAGTTTAACCAATTCAGATTAGGAATGAATATGCCACATTTAAAATTACAAATCTGCATATAACTGGCCAGAATGATGAAAGACAGCAAAGCATGGATTTACAGGAGCATACAGCTGTATACGTCTTACTAGGTGTAACAGCCGCATGTCAGGTAGAGGGTATGGAGCATTAGATTATTTTTAAGACACAGAATTTCAATATTTAAGCCAGGATAGCACATTTTGAAGCTTTAGCCAATTTTCTACATATGCCGGACTATGACCATTTCCAGACCTTTGATCGGGTTTATCTCATTCAGAGAAAACAACCTAAATATGATTTCCATTAAATCCCTACAGGACAAACCAGTTATATTGAAAGAAGTTCGAATAAGCCAGTTATTGCTGTTAAAATTGTGTGTGAGAACCGCACCTCCTCTCAACCCCCAAAAATAAAAAAGTTAACATGTTTTCAGGATTCGATTGAAGGTCGTTTTAGCCATTAATCTATGGTTTGAGAGGTCATGCACACCAATGAAGGGTAATATATTCAGGGGTACAGCATAATTGCATTGGGCTGGGAGGTCAAAGACGAGGGTACAAGTTATCCTGGCAGCCATCTTGTTAACCACTACAATGCTGCTGGGCATTAGTATGGAGAATTATGGAAAACCGCACGAAAAAGCTTAGATGTCAAAGATTAATGAGTTCTGTTTGCAGTATAGTTTATAATTCACGAAAAACTATTAAAAAAAATGAAAAATGCATTAAACACAGCTTGCTATAGTAATTATGGTGACTGGAGTGGCTGGATATTTTCCTAGTAAATAGTCACCTCATTTTAGTAGTTTGAAAAACTTGCCTTGGTCACACCAGGCACCCACAATGCATCCCCGTATCCTGTTGTCTTCAGACAAATCTGTATTGCTCTATACCGGAGCTGCCCAATGGGAAGATACCCAGATGATTTAGAAATACAACTCTTGCTTTGTCATTCTAAAAAGATGCAAAGCATCATGGGATTTGTAGTTCAACATCTGGGTTTCTACCTATTGGGCAGCCCAGTTCTATACAATAACCGTGCCATGCTGATTTGTGCTCAATGGCTGAGTATGAGCAAAGCACACTCAGCCAATCAGCTTGGTCTGGGCTTGAGAATGAGCTGCAGTATTGGACCTGGGCTTGGAGTATTCTTGTAATACCTGAAACATCTGTCAATCAACCTTTAATAAGGGATGTTGTAGGCACCCTCCTCCCATCAGCCAAAACCGCAATAGGAGCTGTAGCTGGCTAAATGTCAAATTATCACAGCGCTCATTGCTGGATAGCCAGAAGGAAGTTATGGAGTCTCTGCCTTAGCCATACTCCCAGTAAGTGCCCGGGACAGTCATTAAAAGTTAAACTGTTTGAAGTTGTTATAGTGCCTGGGAGCCCCAGGCACTGTACCTCTAGTGTTAAACCATTTTCAATGAGATGTCGTTATAGTGCCTACAGTGTCCCTTCAATAAAAAACTGCATGTGTTTTCTTTTTATAAGTGCATTGTATATATTATACTTAGTGAATCACTCTTATGTATACACCGTTTTATTTATATGTACTCCCCACTACCTCAATATTTCATCCCCGGTAAAATATTTTATGAATAAATGCTAGAGCATAGTTTTTACCTTAAAAGCTCACTGCACGCCAAAAGTTTTTGGGTTATTTTATTTACATGAAATAACGTGCAATTAAAGATATTTACATTGATATAATTTATATCTTTAGAGAGCAGTATTTTCAACAACAGAATTTTAATTCATGAATTTTACGGCTGCCTAACTGTAAAAGCAAAATTAAAATGTGTTTGCATTTAATACAGAGTTTTAACTGTACATGTGTCAGCCGAGAGAAAAATCAAAGTCAATTTCTAACCTTGATTGGTTTATTGTTTAAAAGACAGTGAATGTAAAAGGGTTTTCTCCTTTAACTTATGGAATTAAACAAAATGGAAGCATGGGGAGGGGAAACTGGCAAGTATTTATTTATTCCTCTCCTTCCTCCTCTTCTTCGTAGGAGTCGATTCCAACTTCTTCATAATCCTTTTCCAGAGCAGCCATGTCTTCTCGGGCCTCAGAGAATTCTCCTTCCTCCATTCCCTCTCCCACATACCAGTGCACAAAGGCACGCTTGGCATACATCAGGTCAAACTTGTGGTCCAGACGAGCCCAGGCCTCAGCGATGGCTGTTGTGTTACTCAACATGCACACGGCACGCTGTACCTTGGCCAGATCTCCACCGGGTACCACAGTGGGAGGCTGGTAGTTGATACCAACCTTGAAACCGGTTGGGCACCAGTCCACAAATTGGATGGAGCGCTTGGTTTTAATTATAGCAATGGCAGTGTTGACATCCTTGGGCACCACATCACCTCTGTAGAGCAAGCAGCAAGCCATGTATTTACCGTGACGAGGGTCACATTTCACCATCTGGTTGGCTGGCTCAAAGCAAGCATTGGTTATCTCAGACACAGAAATCTGCTCATGATAAGCCCTTTCTGCAGAAATAACAGGGGCATAAGTGGCCAATGGGAAGTGGATTCGGGGATAGGGCACCAAGTTGGTCTGGAACTCTGTCAAGTCCACATTCAGAGCTCCATCAAATCTAAGGGAGGCTGTGATTGATGACACAATCTGGCTGATGAGGCGATTGAGATTAGTATAGGTTGGACGCTCAATATCCAGGTTCCTGCGGCAGATATCATAAATGGCCTCGTTGTCCACCATGAAAGCACAGTCAGAGTGCTCCAGTGTGGTGTGGGTGGTCAGGATGGCATTGTATGGTTCAACTACAGCTGTTGAGATCTGAGGAGCTGGGTAGATTGCGAATTCCAACTTTGACTTCTTGCCAAAATCAACAGAGAGTCGTTCCATCAGCAGGGAGGTGAAACCAGAGCCTGTGCCACCCCCAAAACTGTGAAAGACCAAAAATCCCTGTAGTCCAGCGCATTGATCAGCCTAAAAAAAATAAAAATCTTGTTTAATGTAACAGTTTCCTCACCCTTTTAACAGATCTTGAAGACCACATTATGAAATCATATACAAACTTTGGTAATAAAGTAAATTGAATAAAAAAAAAACAAATTGGAAAAACCACAAGTTTATATAGGAATCCATTACAGGAAGTGTCAAATCAGCACAACAGGTTTTGGAATTTCAATCTCAAAAGGAATATGTTATACCTATCCAGGTAACATGCAGACAAAGCAACAGGAGTGTTCTAGATCTACAGTGGCTGTATGATGAGGGAGGGAAGTCTATATTGTAGACACTTCTGTTCTATACATCTTTAGCTAACCTATAGAACATCTCAGTCATGTCTTACAATGAAACCAGAATGAATTGCGGTCCTGTGCACTGTCATAGGCAGATAGGGACAGGAACAATTCGATCCAAAATCTAAACAAAGAATCTTGCAACTTCTTTAGGGCAGACATGCAACATGTTAGTCATTTTTAGCATCACATGTCAAGTTATACATACGGGTTTGAAACAGATTATGGTGGACATTATTTATATTGTTTACACGTGGTTCGCGTGTTTGACGAATTAGAAAGTAGCCTTCTTTGCACACTCAAATACATTCCAAGTCAACTTCTACTACACACGTCTTTCACTTCTATGTGAAAACACTTCCCTACTTCATGGAATTTGGGGACAAAGGGGTGGGGTGGAAGTGCGTTTTCATTTTTTCCCCTTTAAAAAAGCAAAAATATGTATCAAAAATAAAAATAAAGCAGATTGAAAATGCCATTATAGAGCAATTGTACCCGTCTTTGCTTAATCAAAAGCCCAGATGCTTTGTTGGAAACAGACCGAGTTCTGCAGGTTGGTGGTAAAAATAAAATGTTTATTACAGAGTTTTCATGTTCCACAGAAACATGGGAGCAAATCTTAACTTACCAGCTTGCGGATTCTGTCAAGAACAGAATCGATGATTTCTTTTCCAATGGTGTAATGACCTCGAGCGTAGTTATTTGCTGCATCTTCTTTTCCACTTATGAGTTGCTCCGGGTGGAATAGTTGTTTATATGTTCCTGTCCGTACCTCATCTATGAAATTTCATAAGATGAAGATAAGGTTAGTATATGGGCACCATTCTCCCATCTGCTAGGTTACCAAATCACTAAATGCAGACTAAGACGCACATACATTTAAAAGCATGGACAGTAGGCCAACTATTTTACAATTGAACAATTTAGAATTCACTCCCATCAGAAAAAAGGGGATCATTTTTTTTTTTTCTAATGTTTGTAATATGTGACTGACAGCAGGCATGTGCAAAATGTCTCATTGTGATGGTGTGAGCCCTTTAACAGATTATGCATCTATGTAAATCATAGGTATTAATGTTTGGTGTAAAAACTAGATTAAAGGTTTTTGACATGGTGCATTGATTTTAGTGTAACCAATATCATTAGCACAAGTACTAGAAAAGCTGGTCTAGAGAATTGCTAAGAGAATGGAATTTCAACCGCTAAGCATGTCTGAATTACCACTTTGTTCTAATAAAGTCTGCATTGGGTAACAGTGTGCCCGGATATAGGTTTCCTCTCAGGAACAAGCATTTATGGAGTTAAATTCCACTAGCTAGGCCAGTGATGCAATATTAGAACAGTAGTCTAGACGCGATACATTGTTGCCAAACCAGGCTTTGTTTATACAGACTCATCCAAAATTCTTTTAATACTCACCAATGACAGTAGGTTCCAGGTCAACAAATATGGCACGAGGGACATATTTACCAGACCCTGTGTCACTAAAAAAAGTTGTGAAGGAATCGTCTCCTCCACCAATGTTCTTATCACTGGGCATCCGTCCGTCCGGCTGGATTCCATGCTCCAGACAGTACAACTCCCAGCATGCATTTCCCATCTGCACTCCAGCCTGTCCAACGTGAACGGATATACATTCTCTCTGTTGAGGAAAGAGAAGTCAGATTTCATATGGTACAAAACACACGCACAGACTGAACAAGCGTTTTTATTAAGGGCAATGGAAACCATTTTGCAACAAGATTTATGGTTTCATGTGATTAAATAAGGTTTGAAACTCTTCCTTCTAACAAATTAAAAGAATGAGTCATACCAAAACATGACTTGGCATGGGATGTGTTGGGAGTTTTTGTAAACGTTGGGATAATATTTATTGTAGGCTTTGATCCAACGCCAGGCCTAAGCCATAAAATGTGACTACTAGATGACCATCACCAGAGCTGGACATAGGGTGTCAAAGTATTAGCACGTATGCTCTGACTTTGGGTTATTCAAAGAACATAATTTAAAAATATGGGGTGGACAATAAATTGCTAGGCCAAACCCCTCTGATCCACCCTGGCATGGGTCTGGCCACTTAGAAACAACTAGTTTGAGATATGAGAATGTTGGATTATCCAGGGAACGTTTTCTTTTTAAAAAACGACTTGGAGACCTGTAACATTGAATTTCACACAAGAATTATATATAAGGGGTAAATATATGCAAGGGTTTGGGTTCTCCTATTTTAATTTACTATTTGCAATTTATCATGTTTCTGTATTTTTGTACCCATCACGGAATCCTTTGTCAGATTGATTGAAAGGTTTACTTAATCAGCTTGTGTCTGTTCTCTATGAGCTCATTCTCCTGAGGAAATGTCAGGTAAACACGCTACCAAATGGTTAATTATACATGTCTGATCAGTAAAGTAAGGTTGGATACTATAATTCTACTGTGTGGGGTAACCCAAGACACCTGGATATAAAGTCTTGGTGGTGGCAGTAAAGGGTGTACTAGGGTGTTAGTGTAGAAGGGATTGCAGGGGTTGCAGGGGTTAATTTAGTGGTCGCTGGGACTAGCAACAGGTAACCAGGGGTCTGGTGTCATCAACCCTTTCACTTCCACACTCCCCACTGTGCCAATAGACCATGTTCATGACAATGAGTGTAATATATACACAAAGGTATAGCTAGCCTGTAACCTCCTGGTAATGAATACACAGAGTAAAACTCTAAAATGGTGATATTAAGGCACTGGTGTCGCGTAAAGCATTGCCTTATTGCTGAATAGGACTTTCACCAACTTCTCATCAATGTCAGTTTTAATATTGCACCGTACTCTGGTGAAATATTTTTGTATTGATATGATTAGGTACAAAATCTGCCTGCATTTTATGAAAAAAAAAATTACAAAAAATATATTTCTATCTACATGTGCTGAAATCTGGGTACACACAAAAGAGACCCAGTGTCACTCAAAGGAACTATAATCAAAGCAATATACCGCACACCAGAGGTATAATAGATAATGTTTTACTGATAAGCAAACAGAAGGGGGAGCAAGAATATAAAATCTGTAATATTCAAACAGTAAGTGTCATGCAGTCTGTCTCCGGTTTATCAATAAACTATTATCGGTTTGTATTGCAACGTTACAGGATTTAAACACCTGTCAAACTACAGGCCCACAGTTTACATCTGTTTCTTCAGATGATTAGATCTCGGCATGTGGTTATCTCTATTAAAGACTGACGTCTACGCTCTCCTGGGAAGATCTATAGTTTGTGCCAAACTCCAGGTGTGATGCTATATATTTTCACACACAATCACTGACCTTTACAACTTTGAACTAATCAGTGAATGAAGCAAGGGGAGTTCTCACAATATCAATGGTGTTACACATGGCTGGATTTAAGCCATTTATTTTTTTATACAAGGTAATTATAGGAGTGGTTAAGCCATAAGAGGGACCAGTTACCCATTCTCGCATTCTTATGTATGGACTTGTTCTAAAAACAAATAAAATGTTCACAGGACACCAGTTAGGCAGGGCCCCAGTAGAGGCTGGGAAATTAGAATTCCTAAATTCAAATTAAAAAAAAATAAAAAACTACTTGTATCAAGACACCCAGTGCCTGTCTGTATTCCTGACCAGGATTGTTTTTTCCAGAAGTGATCTCATGCTAGCATTCCAGGTGTAACTACACTTGCCAGAATTCCATTCAAGAAGCGGAGAGCTTCTGTAACGTTACTGTGACAGCTGGTGTATTTTTAACAAAAATTGAGGAAAAAATTAAATATGGCCTTGTGACGGAGTGCATCTCTAGAGACGGGAGACTTATTTACACAAGCACACCTCCATCCTGCAAGACCTGCTCAAACAGGCGCCCACACCCACTCCTGCAGGCAGCTAAGATAATTGTTCCCTCCACTCACCGGCACGCCCAAAAAAGCCTGAAAATGAACAGCCACATAGTTTGACGGAGCTGGAGTAAAGATGGGGCTGTCTCAATCTGGCGGAATTGTGTGTCAACGAAGACAAACAAGTTTATAATCTGAATAGGGAGCTGTTTGAAATTCACAAAATGGCAACTGCAAATATTAAACCAAAATTGGAAACAAATCCTTTAATGCTATTTTTGCCAGCAATCAGTTCTTTGCAGTCTGAACAGTTGCAGATAAAGGAGTTACTAGTGATGGGGTAAATATGCCCCAATAATTAACCTTCCTCAGTTCCCTGTGTTTAGATGTATTGATATAATCAGATCTAGAAAATAATTCTAAAATAAAATGGCTGAATCAACAGATCAGTCAACGTTACATTGTATCATTAAATATAAGATTTAGAATTGATTAACCCCCTATCCGGTTTATAAGGATAGATAATTCATACATTTTACCGCATCAGTTCCAACCAAGGCAAATAAAGAGTATAAGTAATATATTAATAAACCTGCAATGGGTTGGGATAATTATTAACCTTACTGACGGCTTATCTGTTCACCTTCATGGATTCATTGATGCACACAATTAAAGGGACACTATAGGCACCCAGATCACGTCATCTCATTGAAGTTGTCCAGGTGCAGTGCCCCTGTCCCCAAGCCCTGCAATGTAGAACACTGACGTTTTAGAGAAACTGCAATGTTAAAATTGTAGTGTAAAGACTAACTAGTTGTCTACCAGGCAGCCACTAGTGGCGCTTCCTGCAGTTTCACATAGTTTGACTCTGAAACAACCCTGACGTCCTTCCACTTTGCGCGAGGATGTCCAGCTTGTAGAAAATCCCATAGGAAAGCATTGATTCAATACTTTCCTATGGGGAATAACTAATGCGCATGTGGTGCTCACATCACTTGTGCATTGGGTTTCCCCCCCTAAATCAGCAGTCGTCTCCAGAAGAGAGCGACCCCACCCCGAGAGACATCGGCAGAAGAATCAGGTTAAGTGTTTAAAGGGTTTTTTGTTTTTATACTGCTTTACATTGCTTGTGTGGAGACCATGGGGGCATAGGGACACTATAGTTTTAGGAATACAGCTTTGTAACAAATGAAAGAAAAAATAATGTAATTGTGTCTGGTTTTAACTTTTCTACTTTGATACCAAGTATTCAGTGTACTCACGGATTGAGCTTATTTTTAGGAGATTCTCCTAAGAAAGCACATTGTGTTTAATATTAGAGTGCAGGCATCATAGCAGAACTTGGGTTGAGCAGAAGAACAGGAATAGTTAATGCCATTTTAGCTGCAGTGATCTGTAACTGAACAGATAGGGATTTCAAGTTCAGCTAATGCTTTGTCAAAGAAACAGACAGACAATGGACTATGATCCTTCGAGGGAGAGATAAAGGGCATATACCATAATCACTTTGCAGCAACCTGCCAGGTCTTTAAGGAAAGGGTAATTTAATTTTTTAGTTTCTTGAGAGCCCTTTCCTGATCCTGGAGCTAATCCATCGTCTTGTTACAGTAATCAGATCTTAACATCTATTTTTTTTTTTTTTTTAATAGCTGAACATTTTGAATATATTTTTTGAAAATATTTTCCATTTATAATTAGTCCCCACATTTGTTTGTTTCTTATAAAGAGACCATATTTATTTCTGTATTTCAATAAATTGTGTAATTGTTGCATCATAAGAGCTGGGGAGGGGTTGGCTGTTTTCATTAAAACATACAAAGGGAAGAATTTCCTGACAAAATCGCTGTAGGATTTTGTCTGATTGTAATAATGGAAAATTTATTCCACCAGCAGCTAAAGTGTCAACTGAGAACACTAGCATAGGGGTAGAACCTGAAATAATGAATACAAATTAAGCTGCGTTTCACCAGGCCTGCCGATTGCCTAGAAGCCATTCTAGAGACACTGATATTTGCAATGCAGATTTAAGCATTGGGTAATACGGCCCTTCAGACTCATTGCTCTAATTTTAGGGGCATGCCATTCACAAGCCTAACGTAGATGTCAGGTTTCATGAATTGGGCAGATGGACCAAGACAGACACACGGGGAGAAGATTTGCTGTATCACTGCATAAATTGGAACGTAGTGCAGAGCAGCATTAGACAAAGGCCTCAGTCGGCACAGACAGAGGTGGCTTTAGGGAGCTTAGCTTGTGACACTGCAGGCAGCACGGCTGACTTCACCCGCTATTAATAGGCTGTCAGAGTCCTATAATAAACACGCAGTACTTTACACCTGCAGCCATCGAGAGAGATCCCTTTATAAGCATGTGTGGGTGGCTTTCTGTAACACCCATCAGCGTAATCAATGGCTCATTAACATGTTCATCTCCATAACCATTGCTTAGCCTTGCTATTGTTTTATCAATAGACTAACGCAATTCACAAATGCCATTTTTGGTTTTGCCATCACTGCGTTACAAACAAAGAGTCCAGAGGTAATGGGCTCACCGCAACTAGGAGACAAAGGAACACACTTTGAAGTGAGCAGGTCTGGTATTTTTGAGCATGTAACAAATCATGACAAGATGTCTATGCGGACATGGTCCCACAGTCGCAGTCATAACAGACAGACCGTACTTTGTGGCCCGATAACCGCAGCCATGTTATTGACAAACGAGTAAGCCAAGCTATTCATGGAGATCGAGGTGAATGTGTTTGGATCAGCTGCTAACATCTAACTGCCAATTACATGATCTGACTCTATAAAATTCTTTCTAATCGTGCCACAACCAAACTGCTGTGAAAACTTGCCAACATCTATTAAAATTACCTCCAAGAGCTTACAATCCATAACAGTCTTGAATAAAGCTGCCTAAGTATAGCCATACTATATCATACAATACAATAAAAAAAAAAACTAAAAGACTGTCCACTTCCTAAGCTCGGATGCCATTATGAACGTTTTGATATTGTATTTTATTGTTACATGGCCAGTTGTATCCTCATTTCTTTACTGAGGCTCCTGGTTATGCAAACCAGTTCCTGTGACAGGTCTTGACAGACATGGCTGAATTCTGCCTTGTCCCATCTTGTCAATATCCATATCAGTCTGCCCTTTCCAGCTACGTCTAATTGTGTAACCGATCTATTGTGAACCTGACTGCTCGTCACAGTCAGCTGAGACCATGCAAAACAAAGGCTCACCACAATTCCAAATCCCATTCCAGGTGACTAGTGGTTGTATTAGGCTGGTTCTGATTCCTCTGGTCAGTAAGGAATTTCAAACGTTACAAATCCAGTCTTGCCTTAGTAAGATACCAAGCTATACAACTGCCCATCTTGCCACATCCCTAGTTGTGTTAGTCATCAAGGAATACACAGGCTGCCAAGAACTTACCCACAAATAGTAACACCATCACAGAAAATTAAAAACAAAAACATCTTGTAGAAGAGAATGTCATAGGTTACTACGAAGCATGCCAAATGTCCATGATTTGAAGAAAATGAAAGAAAGGGATTTGCAAAAATATGCAATTCTAGTAAATACCTAGAAGGGGGACGTTCAGACTCGGATATGCATTTGTGAGGAGTGGAAAATAAAATTAAATGTAGGCCTCCACACCATTTTATCCTGTAACTGGGCACCTCCATCTTCGCTCTGTCAGTCATTGTTAGAATCCTTTGTACCTGGCAGTCAGCATAGGAAACACTTTGTCCCCCAATGCAATTCATGCTGGCTGTACCAGGACTGAACTGTGACGTCAACTGCTAAATCTTTAACGTCATTAAGAGAATTTAAGAGAGCATGTTTGGAATTTGTCACAACATAATTTGTAGCTCAACATAAGAACCAATTTGGTAAAGCAGGCCATCAATATGAGAAAAAAAATAGCTTCAATATAAAATTGTGTTCATCACAGTTTGGTGCCATAAAGTTTGTGGTATCAAACAAGACTCCCCATAGTGAAAATAGAAAGTATAGTTACGCATCACCTACTGAACTCAAGTTTGTCTTTGAAAAGTCAATCTTGGGGAGAGAAACTTGTGAAATATTTCTACAACTATCCCAGCTTGCCATGCAAGTGAGCACAGAGAGGCATTGTATTTAACTGTATTTATGCAGAAGCCAAAAGACACTAGTGCTCCCAGCAAAAGAAACCATGGCAGACCACTACATAGCCATCTAGGATAAAAAAAATAAAAAGGGTGAGGGTGGCTTTGACTTAATGGCAATCCAATTTCTCCTTGGATCAATAACCTGTTTGCATGTCAGTTATACGCCTGAATATTCTGTTAGGTAGAAAATGTCACATCGTAATTACTCCTACTGTAAACAAAAACACCTTTCTTCCAGTCTATGGGTGCCCTCTTGTCTGTTGTATATAACTGCTAGTGAACAGGTAAGCACATGCGGTTTATCCTGACCCTGTATATATTTGTAAAGTGCTGTCATAACCCCTCTGAGTTGCCGCTTTTCTAAAGGAAACAAATTTAATGTTTCACTGGCTTGTGGATTCATTATTCCAAGATGAATGACTTTGCATTGATCTGTATTTATCACTAGAAAAATGTTAAGAATTTTTTCTTTCATACAAGTACTTAACGTAAAGAGAGACTATAGGCCCCCAAATAACTTCAGCTTAATGAAGCAGCTTTGGTGTATAGATCATGCCCCTGCAGTCTCACAGTACAATACTGTTATGCCATTTAGGAATTCAAATCACTGTTCATACAGCCCTACTCACACCTCCCTGCATGACTCATCCAGCCTTCCTAAACACCCTCTGTCAAGTGAGATCTAATGTTTAATCTTCCTCTACTGCACAGTGTTTAATTTAAAATGTCTTAGGTTCTGCTCTGTTAATAGCCTTTTAGGCCATGTAGGAACCTCCTGTGTGAGAGTAAAGTCCAGTTTACAGAACAGGAGATAAAAACATCTAAAGCAAGCTAACATCTGATTGAAAGTGAAGCCTTTTTTCCCAATGCAAGCTGTTGCAAGTGATTTAACTCTTAAATAGCAGAAGATTGAGCTTCATTAAGCTAAAGTTATTTTCATTCCTTATTGTGTCTCGTTAAGTACACTTTATATATGTTTATTTGAAGTGAAAAGTCCCACTTCATTTGCCCACCCTCCTAATTTCGGGTTCAATTCATGTCACTTTTTACAGGGTTTTATTGTTCCTTGAATGGACCAACAAGGGAGTCATGGCCATATAAGTCAATGATAGAATTACCTCAATAAAGGCTCTGGCTAAATAATGAGGTTATAAGCAACCACACCGTCTGTCCTGCTGAGCCCTTTACACATTTCATAAAAAAAAAAAAGGGACTCTTAATAGAAGGCATCTCCGCTGACTAATAAGTAAAATGGCTGTGAGCATCATGGGATGACTTGCACCCCGGGTAGAGCACTAAGCTATCATTGTCCAAAGCGAATCATGAAAATATTTATATAGAACCGACATTCCACAGCGCTGTCAAATAGCTAACCAAAACGGACAAATGCTCGACATAATTGACAGACTGGAACAGTAAGGGAAGAGGGCCTGCCCAATGAGCTTGCAATCTAAATTTTAAAAAGTCACAAAGCTAAACCTTGAGTAGCTAATGCTACAATAGGTAGGTGGCTCTGTGCAGTCAGTGACTTCCTACCAGTCACTAAATTCATTATATTCATAGTAATTACATCTCTTATGTTCCAACATGTCTGTAGCTTTGTATATTGGGCAGGCACAAGGTTAAACAAATTAGTGACATGATGAGCTATGGTAAACAAAAAAAAAATGTTCTGAAGAGCTTACAATCTAAAGCCTTTTACATATGAAGCATTTTCCATCTGGTGCTTTTTAAAAATATATATATTTGGTTTGATTGGTTTTACCCATTAATAATATTCACTAAAGTGTAAATTGTCAGGAATTGAAAGTAAAAATCACAAATTGTACGACAAAATAGCCAGATTGGAAAAAAAACTAGAATTTTTTAAAATCTGTTAAGCCCTACTTCTGTTGGTCCTTTAGCCTTAATAAAGGCATTTATGATGAATATGCTCTGTCCTGAGGCTAGGCAGCTGGGGCCCACTGTGATTGCAGAATACAAGTCATCACAAATTGCTGCATTAAACAAGCAGATTTGCAGGTCTCTTGATTCCAGAGGAAGCCCAGTTTTTTGACAAACGACTTAAAAAAAAAAAACATGCGACAGAATCCAGAAGGACAACACCCAAAAACCTATTGCATCATAACGACAGCTGTGGGCTGTATTGGTAATGGAGCGAAGGCGCTTTGAATGATGTGATGCGCTGGTAGGAGCAGAATGCGTGGTTTTACTCTGCAGCCATGTATCCTGCTTCCTGCTGTGTCTGTTAATGTAATGTGTAGCAGGGAGCTGCTGTTTCTCTTTTCCTGACAGGCCAACGATAAACAGGCTGCACCCGCCACACACATCGTGTAATTCCCAAGTTAGGAAAGGTTCCTAAAACAAAAACGCAGCAGCTGCCCCCCATACTCCCAGCAAGAATGTGTGTGTATGGGGAGGGTGGGGGTGTGCATCCCATGGCAAGTGATCTCAAGCAATTGCTGTCACTGTACGACTCGTGCATGCACTGGGGGCAAGACTTGGCCAAAGTGATCCATGAATAGAAAGATTTGACTATTTAGGGGTCAGGCACTGGGGGTGTTAGGGGATTATTCTGCGGAGAACATCCTAAATCTGCCACTCAGCCCCTGGCCTTGTGATCACAGCCTGCATTGCAGTAGGAGAGCCACACTAGGAAGGGGGGGAAGGGAGGAGGGGTGTTTCCCCCCCCTCTTTGAAAGACAGCTCATTGGTGCTGGTAAAAAGGGTATTTCTTGCAAATTACAGACTTGCAGAGATGGCCAAGGGTGTCTACAGAGTTAATGTTTAGTGTTCTTTAACCATCTGAGGGCCAGAAGAGGGGAATTCAAATATTAGAGAGCTTGACGGCTGATAGGCCAGCATGAATAAACTGTTTTTCGAATTCCAGAGACCAACGTGCGATTTTTTAAATTCTCTAAATTCGTGTAGCAGCAGAATTCAGAGACCCAGATTGTAATTTCTATAGTTGTTTATATCCGTCTCGCTGCATTTTCTGATGTCATTTACCCCCTACTCGCTGCGTATCCCTCTATCTTATTATAGTATTTATTTATTAGATTAGTGGATGGCGGACAGATTTTTCCGCTAGTAGCCGTCTATTTTGATAGATTTTGCAGGTTCCATGCTTAATAAGTCAAACAATGTTAAAGCAAAGGACGTGGTTAGTTATTGCTTTACACACACACACGCTCTGTAGAATGAAGACTACGTTTACCGCAGTGAGTGCTGTAATATATTGCACCATTTTGTTGCAGGTTCTGCTAGTGAGGAGGGTTTGTGTTGCAATTCAATATGATTATTAAATTCATTATTAGGAAACACTGCATGGCAATGCTGTGTGGACAGAAACAATGTGTACCCAGGGAAAATACACAACAATCCAATATCATTAAATAATAATTAACCACTGCAGTGTTATTTCATGGGAATTACATTGTTAATCCTTCTAGAATCACAGAAATAATATCTCATGCAGTAACCTTACTCCTGTGCCATTCACACAGCCCCCAGGGGTGACCCATGTACACACCATGCTGCCCCAGAGGCAGTTAGGCCACATGCACCCAGCCCCCTCCCACTTTGCACACGTCCCCCAAAAAATGTCCCAACCCAGCACCAGCTGCCACATTCCTGCCAGGTCACAAGGCGGGAGGGGGAGGGGAGGGCAGGCTGAGCACCTCAAGGGGAGGTAGGTACGGGGGGGGGGGGCAATTACCTGGCTCAGCATCTCCCAGCCAGGACCACTGGGACCCAACCGCAGTGCACTGCCACTCCCAGCACTCACAGCCAGCCTAGATAATGGAGACTCAGTGGCTGGCAGCTGGCATGCCATGGGTGGGAGAGGGGCAGGGGGTGTCAGCTCACCTTGTTTGTGTGATTGCAGTGCACTCTAACTCCCAGTACTCCCAGCCAGCCAGCAGCATGCTGAATGGGGATTAGGCGCCAAGCTACTGGCATGCTGGGGGTTTCCCCAGTTAGAGGATGCATGTGGGGGGATTGGGGGAGAGAGAGCCACCCACCAGACTGGGGGTCTTGCAGTGCATTTTAACTCCCAGCACTCCCAGCCAGCACACAGCCTGGATGATGGGAGTTCTGGTTCCCTGGGTCAGCTTACCATGGTGGCGGTGGTCCTGTGTGTCCGTAGAGGGTGGTTCTGGAAGGTTCGGTGTCGGTTCTAGGGAGGGGGTTGTTCTCACCGGAGCCTGGGTGACGAGTCTCTGTGAGAATGGTCTGGGCGCTGCGCACTCAGCCTTAATATACCCGGGGAGGAGCCAGCGAACACCCAGCCACGCCCCGGGGCGTGCCCTGCTGGAATAACCATTAGCCTGTTTGCTCATAGGAGCATTAGTAGCGCAGCAAAGGAGGCGTGGCCGAGAATCCCCAGGAAACGCCCTTCACTGACACCTGAATTGGCGGAATAGAGGCGGAGACTCCTCCCACGGGAGAGGCATGGTTCCCTGGCCACGCCCTTCTTTTCAAACGTTCCATTTTGATTACAATGTATCCTTTGGACGATAATACACCGAGTACACGCCCTGTCCATGCCCTCCATCGCGTTTATCGGGTCGCTTTATATTATTTTTATTTATTCACAGAGTACACATTATTTTCCACATTTAATGTTAATCCTATAATAATCTGATTATTTTTGTTATTTTATTTGGAGATAACATTCTAACACGGTTATTAACTAATTAAAGGCCAGATAGCAAAAAATGAAAGGAAAAAAAAATTAATAGAAAAATGAAAGGGAAACTCGAACTATATTGTCCGCTTAGTCATGATTTAACCTCAAACTACGCAATCCCCCTGTCAATTTCCCACATTTATCCCATTTGGTTAATACGTATTTGTATGAACACAATATCCAGGGCGAGTCAGAAGTCGAGAACCACCAAAATACCTGGAAGAATTGTTCGGCTTCCATTATTAATGCATTAAAGATGGCGGATGCGTTGAGTAACATACGTCATAGTTTCAACTAGCAGAGGTCTATTGTCTAATGAGAATGATGCGATTGATTTTAAGTGATGGGTCCTGGGGTGACATGGGGTATTTAGTTCTGGCAGAGCTATGGTTGGGAGGTTGGGACAGTAATACCCCTCGCAGGCAGACCTGGGATAGAAGGGGACCATCTATTTTATCACTAGAACAACTCGCCAGGGCCGGACTGGAAACGAAAAGCATCTCTGTTAAAATATTCTATACCAGCCTAATAATGCATTGCGCCAGCATAGTGTGCAGAAATTGAGGCAGAAAAAAAAATGAAAAACTATTGCTCTGACGTGAAAAAAGCACTCACAGTGTTACAGACCTTCCTGTCCCTGGATTTTATATTTATTTCTTAGTTCGTCTGTTTGGTAGTTATTAATATGTTATTTATATAGAGCCATCAAATTCCGCAGCGCTTTACAATGGGTGGACGAACAGACATGTAGTTGTAACCAGACAAGTTGGACACACAGGAACAGAGGGGTTGAGGGCCCTGCTCAATGAGCTTATATGCTGGAGGGAGTGGGGTAAAATGACACAAAAAGGTAAGGATAGTATTAGACTAATGACAGTTGCAGAAGAGGAATCAGTCAGGAGCTATTAACAGTTTAATTGATACGCTTTTATGAAGAAGTGGGTTTTTAACAATTTTTTGAAGGAGTGGAGACTGGGTGAGCATCTAATGGAGGAGGGAAGCGAGTTCCACAGGAACGGTGCAGCCCTCGGGAAATCTTGAAGGCTAGCATCAGAGAACAAAGAACATCTCTTGGCGGTGCAAACCCCTCTCTCTATCAGGGTGGCCGCTACACAGGGCTTCAAAATAAACAAAAGTGTGAATGCCATAGGAAAGCATTGGGAGACTATTGTGCATGTGTGACAAAACGCTGCACTGCGCCAATGAGCATCTCCTCATAGAGATGCATTGAATCAATGAATCTCAATGGGGAGTGTCCATAGGCAGTCCTGGATTAGGAAGCACCTCTAGTTGCCGTTTGAGTGACTGCCACTAGAGGTGTTCTATAGATAGTCTACAACTGTAGTGGCTCTGGTGACTATAGTGTCCCTTTAATAAGAGGTCTTTCTCTCACTGCGCTGCGGAATTTGATGGCGCTCTATAAATATCATAATAATAATAATAATAATAACTCTGACACCCCTCTTGGGTGTCTTTTACAACTCCCTTTTGTGTATCTTTTACTTCATCCCAGCCCTTTTGTGTGTCTCTTTTTCTCCTTATCCAGCTCCATTGTATGTCTCTTCCCCCAGTCCCTTTTGTGTGTCTCTTTTTCCCCTTATCCAGCTCCTTTGTATGTCTCTTCCCCCAGTCCCTTTTGTGTGTCTCTTTTTCCCCTTATCCAGCTCCTTTGTATGTCTCTTCCCCCAGTCCCTTTTGTGTGTCTCTTTTTCCCCTTATCCAGCTCCTTTGTATGTCTTCTCCCCCAAGCGCCATTCATGTGTCTCTTTCTCCCCTTCCCAGCCCTTCTGTGAATCTCTTTCCTCATCCCAGCACCTCTGCATATCTCTTTCCCCACAGTCTTTCTGTGTGTCTCAATCCCCCAGCCTCTCCATAAGTCCCATCTTCCCTATGTAACATGTTCAGCCTCACCTTGCAGCATTTGAGCTCAGCGGCCGTGCGTCTGTATACCTGTCCCCTGCAACATGTTGATAGACGCTGGCCGCTGCGGATCCACGCCAAATTATAGCCCCACGTGCGCCCACGTTGATGATGACGGTGTGCGTGTGACATCACGCGGGAAACGCACGCGCACGTTCTGGGGTCAAAGGCCGATTTACGGCCCATCAGAGATGAAATAGGCTTATTTAAACTCCTTATGCCTTTTCATCATTGCCCTGTCGTGATTTCCCTAGTGGTTGTCCAAGAGTGTGTTTCTGAGTGTTTACTTCTGATTATTGACTTTGGCTTCGTATTGACTTCCCTGTATTCTGGTATCCCTGACTTCTGGCTTTCCCTCATCGTTGTGTCTCTTTCTGTATCCCCGACCTCGGCTAGTATTCTGACTATTCTCTGGTACGTTTAGTCCGGCCAATCTAAGGCCCGGTAAGACTTTACCTATTAGTCCTAGCTGTGATACAATTCTACATGCTGGATCAACTAGTAATCCTGACACTCTATCCCCTCCATGTGTCTCATTTACCCCTCCAGCCCTTCTATGTGTCTCATTTTCCTCCAGCCCCTTCATGTGTCTCATTTACTGCCCCATCCCTACATGAACCTAATTCACACCCCAGCCCCTTCATGTGTCTAATTCACCACCTAGCCCCTACTGTACCTCCTTGTAGCATGGCCGAGCTGCGGACCGCAGTAGAGGAGCTTCTGTTCCTGTACCCGGTCTGACAGGAAGTAGTAGGGTGCTCTCTGAGAGCACTTGTTGTCAGATGGGGTAGGGGAACAGAAGTTCCTCTACCGCGTTGTATGGCTCAGCAGCTCTTCATTCTGTGACCGGCAGAAACACTTCCCTCCTTCTGGTCATCCTGCTATTGCGCTGTGTGCCCCCCGGGCCAGTGTGCTCTAAATGGCCAAAGGTATGCTGGTCCACTGGCCCTGCTACTCACGGCCCTGCTACTGGCAGGAAAGAATAGTCAGGAGACCCAGGGTACACGCTTGGACTGCAGTAAGCGGTCTGATCCAAGGGCAACGTGCACCAGACTGTGTTAAAGTTTGGGGCTGGTGGGGCAACGCTGTATGGCCTTTCAGTACTATCACCCTGCCGGGACCACAGTATTGTTTGGTGGGCATAGGCTGAACATCTTAACTAGCATGGGGGCCCGGGGTTCCATCTCCATTCCATTGCATAGGCCTCTTGGCTCATAATGGGCAGCTGTTTATGTTAGTTGTTACTATGGTTATGTTTTCTGCTCCCTATATTGGTGGGTGCCAGTGGTTTATTTTTATTATGCTAATACAACTCAGTGGGTTAAAAATAATGGCATTATGCCTTTACTATTTGAGATACTTGTAACGGCACCCCAGGGCATAAAAGGAGTGAAACCACCATTTAGTAGATCTTCCCTTCCAGAGACACAGGCACAGCTACTGCAGAACACCAAACTCCTGAACTGAATACAAGGGAATGCTCCAAACTCCCGAACTGCATACAAGGGAATGCTCCAAACTCCCGAACTGCATACAAAGTAGCACTCCAAACTCCCGAACTGGAACCTCACGAATAGCTGCTAGCAGACGAACAGGAAAAGCACCCAAGCGGCTTACACTCTTGGCAATCAGTCTCTATCAGCATACAGTAAATCCCCCCAAAGACGAGACAGAGCTCCGTGTTGAGGGTCAAGCAGTGGTCTGGTTTATTGAGGGCTCCCTGCCCAGTATTTATGCAGGTCTCCCACCTGGTGGACACTCCCCTAGAGGACCAGATGGAAGACTGTAACACAGACAGACATGTATCACATTCAGACACACAGAAGTAAAAAATACCCACAATGCATACTAATTTCCCTCCCTCTATCCTGGAGATAATTGGGAAGTAATCCAATTATCTCCCAGGACAGAGGCAAAACTCCATTATACACGTGAGGACACAAAGACAGTAAAATACATTAAAACATACAGTGTTATATTTAATACATAAAATCCATACATGTCACATATCCCCAGATAGCTGGGATCTGAGCGCACATAACTACCGAATAGCGCTCAGATCCTTTTCACACAGTTCAATTGCCATGGAGCCAAAGTCTTTAATTACACGAATAGGCTCCATGGCTGTGCTATCTGGGTTAAAGCATTCACATAAAACATAGTTCGGAATGATCAGGTGTTCGGTTAAATAGCCACGAATAGAAGCAGGGAAGGCCGGAGGCTCAGCGGTGCCTGCACGTAAAAGTGTCCGCTTTTAGTGCACTGATTTCATAACACCGCCACCTAGCGGCCGCTAGGTGTAACCGTGGCCACCCAGTAATAGTCAAGCTGCGGTTAACTGCAGCTACTGGGTGGTCAATTGACTGCATACGCTCGTTAAGCCGCTGTTAACCGCGGCTTCAGGGAGGTAGATTGGCGGCACACGCCAGCTTCTGGGCGGACAACTAACAGCGCCTGCTGGCTCACCACGGCTCTGGGGAGGCTAATAGAAGGCTGTTTGTGCCGTAGACTAAATCTACCGAACGGCTGTGCAGAAAGGCATGAATGAGCCTTTCTGCACAGTAAAATTAACTGTTTAACTGCCGGTCCATAATCCAAAGGCAGCAGGCAGGCAGGCAACCAGGCTCCTCCAATGCAATCTGGCAAGATTGGTCTCGTCACAATACTAATCTCATTCTTCGTGGTTAACTA